CACATCATCATTTCTGCATATAAACATTTTGAAAATATATAAAGAAACAACACCAACAAAAAAATAAATATAGCACATAAAAAAATAGACCATCAAACAAATATAAGTGTCATCGTAAAATTTCCAGACCATTGGTAAGTGGACCAAGCGAATGTATTCCATGTTTTTTTTTCTGTATCTATCTCTATGTTGTTCAGCATTGATAAGAAAGGGATTTTGTTTCGCATTTTTTTCCCATTATTATTGATTTCAATTTTTTTCACATTAAAATTTATTGATTTTGGTGATTGAGAAATTCCAAACAACAAACAAAAAAATCCCCTTAGGCTGCCAGCATTCTGTGAATAAATATTATCAGAAAATCGAATCTATTTGCATATAGACAGAATTAATGAAAGTTTGAAAAGAAAGAATACAAAATTCTCTGTCAAATGAATGCTAGTCTCCAAAAAATCAGTTCTAATTACAAAACAATAATGATTTCCTTGGTTTCCAGGCCAGAGAATTGATTCTCATCATAGATGACAATTGCAGATTCTTTCACTTTTTCTTCATCATTATCATCATCTATTTTGATTTCTTTCAAAAACAGATTTTGCAAAAAAAAAGAAGAAAATGAGAAAAAAAATTTAATCAAATCAACATTATTAGATTTTCAATGATTCAATGATTTTTACTACTAAAATATAAAGGGAAAAATCAAGAAGAATTTATTAAAGAATGGCAAAAATCATCAACGAAAAGAAAAAACAATGGCTTTTAATGAAAAAAACACATCAAGATAAATTAATTTGAATTTAATTGAATATAGAACCGAAAACAAAAAAAAAAATTGATTGAAATTCAGTTCAGTGAAGATGATTTTATCATTAGCATAGCACATTTTAGATCCATGAGATGACATCACAAAATAAATTCATTTTTCTTTCTGTAGTTTTACCATCTGTCCTCGATCACAATTTGCTTCATCAGTCATTCATATGTACATTTGGCCACTACCTTGATGAGAAAATGGATGGTTTTTTATTCTTTATTCTCTAACTTCTACAACACAGAATCTCACAATCTCAAAGAATTGGACAAGGAAAAAATCTTCTATTTTTCAGAACAGAATTCATAAATTTAATTTTAATGTTTTGAAGCAAATTCTGTCATAATTTACGAAAAATCAATCTTAATTCTGGAACAAAAAAATCATTATTATTATCATTAAATGAAAGTTAATGAAGTTTTTTTTCTGTTGTTGTTGTTGAAATCAACACACAGAGAAAAAAAAATCCAATAGCTTCTAGGCAATATGATGATATTCTTATACCGGAAAAAGAAATGAATGAATGAATGAAAAAGTCAATAAAATAAATGAAACACTAAAAACAATAACAAGATTAGTAGTGGTTGTTAAAAATATGATAACTTTAGTCAGTCATTAAAAAAAAGGTCATATATACGCAAAAGTCAATTAATCATCCAACAAAAACAAAAACAAAACAAAGGAATTCTTGAATGAATAAAAAAAGGAATTCTTTCTTTTGATTGCATTTTGTGTGTCGCATAATCATCGTGATCATCATCATTGAAAGAATTATTTTCCGGTAGAATTGAGATTCAAAAATCCGGATAAACAAAACAAAACAAAAAAAGAAAGAAAAGATATTCCTAGTCAACAAGAATAATTCATTCCAAATGATTCTCCCGTATTCTTTATTTGTCTTCATTCATTTTAATCATCATCATTTTGACATTGCATTGTTTTTTCTTAAAGTTTTTTCTTTAAATAAAAAGGATGCTTTTGTTTTTTCTGTTTATTATGGAAACAAACAAAAAAATAAAAAATAAAATTGATAACCAAAGAAACGGAAATAAAGAAAGGAAGGACAAAAAGAAAACACAGAAATTTTCTGTAAAACTTTTTTTTTCGTTCAAATAACGATAATAATATGTGTGGCTAATCAAATTACAATTCAAATACTTGTTGTTGTTGTTGTTGTTGAAGTTTTTGGTGTGGATAATGATAATTAATTTACAGAAACAACGGCAACAACAACAACACAAAATGGCAAAACATTGAATGAAACGGTGGTGGTGGATAAACAAGAAAGTGAATGAAAAAAAAAGTTTAGTTTTGCTTGTCACCTGTGTTTGATGATAATTTGTAATTACTCTTTGCTCTACTGTAAACGGATTTTTACTGAGAAAATCAATGAAATTCTTTAGGTATTTTTTTTTACACACACAAAAGCAAAAAATTATTTATAATTACCCAAAAAGGAATCATTTAAAGTGCGCGTGTGTATAAGACATTAATTCATATGGAATCGACTGGAGGATTATGTAACATTCTTTTCTTTTTCTTTTTTCATATAATTGATTCAAACACGAAAAGTATATGAATGTCAAATGGTATTAGTTATTGAAGAAATGAATGAAGAAAAAAAATCATCATCATCATCATCAATTAAGAAAAAAGAGTAGAATCCCAAAGAATCCCAGTGCATTGCATTTTATTGTCTCATGATAATGATGAGAAAATGATGATGATGATGATGATGATAGATCCCTTTGAAATACATTATGTTTACGAGAGAGAGAAAAAAAAAGAAGAATCTGAATATGAAAAAAAGTGATTTTCATTATCAAAAATCAAAAAAAATTTTTTCCCATTTCTACATACAGAATTTGTTATAATTTAGAATTTTTTGGAAGGAAATTTGCATAGAATCAAGAATTTTATTTTTTGCATTCATTCTTTTTTTACATAATTCAAAATACAATAGAATTTAAACTGTTTAAACTGAATGAACGAATGGAAAAAAATAATAATAATCAGCTCAAAATTATGATGACAGGTGAAATTCATAGCCAAGATATTTTCAATATGTGTGTGTGTGTGTTTGACATATGCAAATATATTATATATTCTATTCTGTCGTTGAAGAAAAAAAACATCAACTCTCTTTCTCTATATTATTACATAATCTCAAAGTTTCCGAAAAAATATTTATAAAACTTCTATCAACACAAAATAATGACAAAGACAAGAGAATGTTATATATAATCGGTTTAGTTTTTTTTGGTTGTATTCAATAAATAAAAAAATAAAATTGCAAATTTTGATTGACATTATGATGAAATATTTTTGGGCACTCAAAATGATTGAAGAGACAGAGAGAAAGAGAAACAAACTTACCAATTTTAATTGTTTTTGGCAAACAATTGACCATTGTAGAAATGATGATAATATTTATTAAATGATTGATGATAATCGATAATGTTGATGATAATGATAATGATATAATCGATTGACGATGACGAAATTTAAAACATTTAAACATTGTTAAGGATGTTTGATTGATTGATTTTTTATTTTTTTTTAAATAACTAAAACGGAAATTAAAAATTGGCCACTTAAATTGGTGAATGCAATTAATCATTGAAGAAAATAACGATAATGATAATAATCATCCATAGTTTTATGATGCTTTTGATAAAACATTTTTTTTCGGTCCATTATTGATGGGATTGTTAAATTACAGCAACGGAAAATTTCACATTTTCAAAAACCGAACTTGAAAAAAATTGTCCATTTCACAAGACTTTCTTTCTCGGTTTAAAAAAAATAAAACCGATATTTCTTTTTGTAAAATAAATTGTCTTTTTTTTCTTTTGAAAACTGATTTCTTTTCGATTGCTAAAATGTCAATTTTCTTTTTTGAAAAAAAACCACCGAATCAAAAAAAACAAACCTAAATCAAACTGAACCGAACTAAACCAGACCAAACTGAAACATCACTTGGAAAATCCAAATGGATTCACACAGTAGTAACTAAATACGATATATTTCAACAGTGATATTTGTTCCAGAATTTGGTTTGCGCATTTTCATTTTAGTATCAAATGTGTGTGTGTGTATGTATGTGTGTTAGTTATGTTGTTGGAACCATAATCGTCATCATTATGAAATGTTTTTACATATATTGCGCACATGCATTAACCAACCCGACCACATAAACAAGTTAAAGATGTTTTTTTTTGCCGTATCCAAACGAAAAAAGAAGATCAAAATTGGTTAAAAAGTTTTCGTTTCTTTCGAGAGAAAGGAATGAAAAATATTTAATGAATCTAATAATAATGTGTTACCGTTAATTAGAATCATTATTTTCATAAAATCCTTGTACCTGGCCCGTTTTTTTATTTTCTTTCCCAGAAAAAAAAAGATTGCTAACGAGCAAATTCTTTTGCATTATTTTGTAGAAAAACAAAAATGATGCATGAAATATTTCGAAATTTGTCGACGAAACAAAATTTTGTCGAAGAATTTTTTCTCATCTAACCCGAATTTTTTCCTTTTTCTATATTTGAATGATGAATAATTAGCGAATATAAATCATATGATGATGAAGATGACAGTTGGAAAAAAAATTCAGTGAATTCAAAACGAATTCTTTCCAATGATGATGATGATGATGATAAATTGTCACATTTCTCAAACGAAAAAATAAATAAACAGAATAAATTGAAAAAAACAAAAAATCAAAGATCAAGTATATCATTCACACGATGTGAATGAATTTACGAATAACGAACAACAAAAAAAAGCAACTGGAATATTTTGAAATGAAAAAAATCTAATCATAGAATGTAAGATTAACAGCAACAACAACAAAAACAAAGAAATAAATCACATCACATCACATAATCTAAGGAATCCTTGTTGTTTTTTTTTGTTTTCAGGTATATTATGATTCATGCATAAAACAATTTCATTCATTGAAAACAAAACAAAATACAAATAAAACACGAAAAAACACGAAAAAACGGAAATGAAATTTATTTTTGAATAAATCTTTGAATTATAAATGAAATGTTTTGAAAAGCGTGAAACAAAAAAATTTCATTTTTGTCGAATCGATAGTGATATCTTATGAAAAAATTTCTTTTGTTTTATCCCTGAATATGATAATGAATGTTTGACATTATCAAAATAATGAAAATTCTTGAGTTTTGTTTGTTTCATTCAACTTTCATAGACAAAATCCAAACAATGAATAGTGTAATCAAAATACCAGTTATAAATGTTAATAGATAACGAAATGTTTGACAAAAATCAATATCATCAATAAAATTACGTGCCAATAGAAAACTAAAAATACGAAGATTTGAATCACTATATGGTGGATAACGTCTATAGTGAGGATGAAACAAAACAAAAAAAAATTTGATTAATTCATAAGAATAACTCGAACAAACAAAAAAAAAATTACTTTTTCATTAAAATATTTGTAATAAAATTATGTCGTTTTATCATAACACTTTTTGCATGTGAAAATGTACGAAATGAATATGGACCATAATAATTACCGAAACCAGAATTACCAACACCACCGAATGGTAATAGATTAGCATGTAGATTAAAAAAATGATCATTTTTAACAATTGTACCGCTTGATGTTTCATTTTGAAATCGTTTAAAAACATTATCATTATCAGTATAAACATTTATTGCCAATGGTTTTTCATTCTGACGAATCAATGTTAAAGCTTCATCCAATGATTCAACAGTTACAATAGGTAATATTGGACCAAATATTTCTTTTTGCATAATTGGATCACTAAATGTAACATTGGCCATTATTGTCAATGGAAAAAAACCTGTCTGTACATCGATATTACCACCGATGACAACTTTTTCTTTATTCGATTCAAGTAATATTCGTAAATGTTCAAAATTTTTACGATTAACAATACGTCCATAAAATGGTGATTTACTTGCATCGTTGCCATAAAATTCTTTCAAAAAACCGGGAACCAATTTTATAAATTGATCCTGAACTTTTTTCATACAAATTAGATAATCGGGTGCAATGCATACTTGTCCTTTGTTAATACATTTAGCCCAAATAATTCGTTTGGCTGTTTCATAAAAATCGTTAACATTATTGTCTAAATATGCTGGGCTGAAACAAAACAAAAAAAAATCTTAAATTATTCGATTCTTTTTGTTCACGATTTGGATGAACAAAAAAAAACAAAATGCAATTTTGCAAACATACTTTTTACCACCCAATTCCATTACACAAGGTGTTAAAAATTTTGTCGCAGCACGATAAACAATTTTACCGATTGATGGTGAACCAGTAAAAAATATTAAATCAAAATGATTTTCCAATAAACGTGACGATACACTGGCATCACCAGTAACCACACGATAACATTCCTATCAATATTTTTTTTATAACGTCAAATTTCATCAAAAACTTAAACAAATTTTGACTTACCGGATCCAAATATTTGGGCAATAATTCGGCCAATAATCGTTCATAATTGGGTGCAAATTCTGATGGTTTTAGAATGGCACAATTTCCCGCAGCAATTGCACCAACTAATGGACGTATCGATAATGTTAATGGATAATTCCATGGACTTATTATCAATACAACACCTAATGGTTCATAATGAACGTATGTTGAATCGAAAATATTTGTTAAATGTTTCGTTTTCGTATAATGCACACGTGTATGATAATGAATATATTTCAATTGATAATCAATATCATTTAGTAATGGAAGCATTTCGGTTCCTGATGCTTCGGCTTTTGGCTTATTTTCAACAACAACAAAAAAAAGACAAACAATGTAAAGAAAAACAAATCCACATTCGTAAATAAATAAATATACCTTGTCCAGATCGGCCAAAAGTGCATCCATAAATTGATCATAATTTTCTGTCAAACATTTTCGTAATTGTTTCAATTGTTTAATACGGAATTGAATATTTTTCGTACGATCTGTATTGAATGTTTGTCGTGTTTTCCACACGATCATTTCAATCGTTGATTCATTCATTTTCATTATCGTTTTCACAAAACAGCCAATATACCACCTTCAACCAACCAACCAACAAACAAACAAACAAATAGAAAGAAAGAAAGGACAACTGTTGTTCGCGCTGCTTTTTATATGAAAACGTAAATGAACAAACATCATTCGAAAGCAACATTTTATTTTCAATTGTTTTTAATAAAATCTGATGATTATTTTGTACTTGAAGAAGAAAATATTTATCGATTATCAATGTCGAGGATTTGTTTTTTTTTATTTTTCCTCAATTTTATCAAACTTTTTTTTCAACTCTACCAGAATTTTATTTATTGAAAAAAATATTATAAAGAAAGAATATCACATTAATTTTTATTTTCACAGGATAAAAAAATATCATTGTAAAAAAATTTTTCTAATTATTTGGACAACTATTATAAATAACAAAACTAGTATCCATTAATTGACGAATAATATCGGCAAGATTATATTCAGGTTCAATAATAATTAAATATGATGATGATGATGGTGATGATGATTCGTTTTCGTTTCCGCCATCAACAACACTATTCGGCATCAATAATATTGATCGACAATAAATGTTTAATAATGTTTCAATTAAATCTTCTTTGTTTAAATCTAGAAAAAAAAAATGAAATTTTATCATCAAAAAAAAATTTGAGAAATAATTGAAAAGAAAATTTACCCATACCAGGTATCTTATTTTTTAAAATTTTAACAAATTTTACAGCTTGTGAATATTGTTTTGTTTGTATTAGATCAAGAAGTTCGGTTTCATTTTCTTTACTTATTGTTGTTGATGATGTAGTCGATGATATATTAATCGACATAAACGAAGGTTGTTGTTGTTGTTGTTGTTGATCAGATATATTGTTATCATCATCAAGATATTTAGCTAAATCTTTTTTCAATTCACCAATTTCATTCGAATAATTGATTACCTATTAATATTGACAAAATTAGATTAATGAACAAAATAAAATTTAAAAAAAAAAACAATCAAACAATTACCATAGGATTATTCTGTATGGATTTGATTGAATCAACAAATTTAAGATAACATTCATATAATAAATATAGTTGAAAATGCATTCGATATAAATGTTGACAAAGTTTAGAAATCAATGTAGTTGTTGAATCAATGGCCGATGAATTATCTTGATTGTTTATTTTGAAATTCTTATATTCCTGTATACAGTTATAAAGTTGATCTTTTTTCTCATTAAATGTTTCCCAATGTGCATGTAATCCCATAATAACAAATTGTTGTTCTTTCAATAGATTATCCATTGTTATGAATAATCGTTCGCTTATATGAACAAATGGAAAATCATTTTGCATTGAAATTATATCCAACAAATCCATAAAACGATTGGCCACTGAACCATATTGATTATTATCCAAATTATTATTCTGTAAAAGTATTTCACATGATTCTCTTGTTAAATATATGACACGTTTGAATGTATTTTTTAAAATCTTCACAATCAATTGATTTGCCATTACCATCATTTGACCTGAATGATCATTAATCATTCGCATAAAATGTGTTGAACATTGTTCTTCGGCTTCAATATTCAATGTAGATATCGGTGGATTCGTTATAATCGATGATGAAACAGTATTCACTAATGATGATTCCGGTTCAGAAACAAGACTATGTGATGATCCATGTGATATAAGACTAGCTGGTCTTGAATGTGTAGAATTTTCATTAAATACTTGTATCTGATTATGATCATATAGTGGTGAAACACTTTCAACTTCATCATCGGATGAACATTCATCTACATCATTTTTTGACATTCGAGGTGAATAATTGATTGGCGATGATGATGATGGTTCAAAAGTAACATTTATTATTTCATCATTCATTTTGTTTGTTTTATTGGAAGAAACATCATCATTATCAAGATTTGATAATGATTTTCGTCGTACACCCCAATTAAAATTATCCAAACTTTCACCTTCTTGACTTTCAAGTTCATATTCAAGAAAATCAAATTCTTTGAAATAGGCAAATTCACCATGTGCTGTATCATCATGTTTGCTATCACCCGATACATCATTGTTTGTTGCCGACATATCTTCAGTTGATGAAGCCATCGATGATTTATGATTATCAATACCAACATCACTATTTTGGCTAAAAATGACCGATGGTGATTTTGGTAGGCCAACAATTCGTTTACCACAACGATTGAATAGATTGACTAAACGTTCACGAATTCTAGTCTGTGTAGCTACTAGACTACTTCTTTTCAATGTAGAATTATGATCAATATTTATATTATTGCCACCAATTGTATCGGCATTTGTAGCCGAATTTTCATTACTTGCTATTGAGACATTATCACCATTATCAATGGCAAAAGTATCACGAACATCGAATAATTTATGAAGAATAAAGTCACTTTTTTCATTACGATCACCAACCAAATTACTATTATTATCAACAGATGTAGCAATACTACTGATTGCCGAATCTGTACCATTATCTTTAGCATTTCGATTAGCGGCAATTTCGGTCATTGCTTTTCGCTTGGCAATAAATTTGGAGCCAACAATTGGTGTTTGACTGATATCAAAAGTAAAATCCATTGTACGTCCCGGTAATTCACGTTTAATACCACTGCTACCAAATTCACTTTCACTAAATGTACTTGACGTCATACTGATACCATCCGAATATGAACCACAAGATACGATACTCGATATGATCGATGATGCATATGTTGAATTTGATGAATATGATGGTGCAGCCAATATTGATGAACGTGTCACAGCTAATTTTAATATTTTTAATGCATCTTTCCATTGTGGTCCTTCAATATATTTATTTGCTACACGCATTAAATCATCATTTATCGATCGGCTACTATTCAAATCGATATAATTGAGCATAAAATGTAGAATCGATAATATATGATTAAGGAATACGGCTGGTCCTTTTTCGGCAACCTGTTTTTTTTCGTACAAAGAAAAAAAACATGAAAAATTAATATCAAGTTAAGAGGATGAGAAGACAAAAAAACATTATTCTTACCTCAACTAAAAACGATATAATCATTACAAATGACCCTGGATATGCATCATAAAGATATTTTACAACACATTTTGTCCATTGTGAATTTTCCTTACTAAAACAATGTTTACTATACAATGTCATAACGGTAGCCAAATTTTCCAGATTAATATTCGAATGTTCATTACACCAGGCAGCAAAACTAACGGCAGCCTGAATACAAAGTTCATTCGGATCATCATAATTATGTAATAGATATGGTAACATAGCCATAACATGGAATGGGAATGCTGTTTCAGAATTTTTCGGATCGATAACCGAAATCTTCAAATAAGGTGTTAATTTATGAAGTAGATTGATTGTCGGTTCATAACAAAGATTCGATGCTAAACCTTTCAATAATAATTGATGAACACCGGGAAAATTTGGCCATTTAATATGCATAAAAATTTTTTCAATTTTTTCTCGACATTCAGGATCATCTAGCGACATTTTCTGAAAACATTTATCCAATAATCTTGTAGCCAATAAAAATTCATGTTCATAATCAGTTTCTAATAGAATGACACCAATACAGAAAAATTGTGCCAACATTGAATTCTTATCATCTAATGAATATGATTGATTATCATCTTCGTCCGGTGGATTCTTTAACGATTGGGCTGATTGCGAACGACCCAAAGATACATTGGCCAATGAATTTCCTTTAGAATTACGATTATCATTATAGAATGAATCAACATCTTTTGTTGTACAGAAACGAGGACGATGTTCATCAAGAAAATTAAATCGTCTGGTTGGAAATGACATTGAATATGAAGTATTACTTCGAGCAGGAACTTTTCTAAACTGTTTGGCCATAGCTCTTGATGGCCGTATTGTATTTGTTCCAGCTACTAAGGTTGCTGAACTTTCGGCCGGATATAGACAATTGACCATTTGTCTTTGTTGTTGTGGATCAACATCCAAATCAAAATCTTGTTCTTCTTCTGGTTCTTCATTATTATCATTTGGTTGTGTATCTTCAACAACAGCAACATCATCTTTTGAATCAGTATCAAAATGAAAATATTGATTTATCAATTCCAATATGGAACGTGGTTTCATATCTAATGTATCGATTGCTGATTCTAATGTAAGCATCAATTCTGTTACATAACCTTGCATATCTTCACCTTGTTCGGATACGGTTTCAACTAATCGTGATAAAATATCCGATAACATTGAACGATTAATAGGAATTTTTAATGCACGAAATGTTTGCAATGAACGTCCAGCATAATGTCTTGATGAACATTGTAATGCTTGCCATAATGCAATATCAGCCCAACGATTTTCAATCTTAGCCAATGGTAAGGATTCTTTGAATACACAAAGTACATGTTCAGCGAATGTTGATAATTGTTCAGCTGATCGAATTGACCAAACTTTAGCTGTAATATCTTCATTATTCCATAATGGACCACCACGTTTTGATGATATAAAATCGATTAAAGTTTTTATATAAAAATCTAATGAAAAACGTTGAGGACGATTATTCACCATTGAATCATTTTGTTTCATATCATTTCCTTGATTAGTTGATTTCTCTTCATCACCATCATCATCGTCATCGTCGTCGTTGATTAACATCTGATCATCACAATCATCTTTATCAATTTTCAATTGAATATCATTCAAATGAACCGAATCAGAAATCGTAACTGTTGTTGTTGTTGTTGTTGCTGATACAAGATTTTCACTACTTTTAGTAAAAATTTTATCCAAATCCAATTCACTTGGATTCTTTTGTCCATTTCTATTATTATTCGATTGATCATTGACATTATTTGATTGAAAATTAAATACAAAATTATTCTGTATGGAAAGACCGAAATTCTGTTGTTGTATACGATTTTTAAGTAAAATTCTTGCAACAGTAAGATTATCATTATGTTTACAACAGGCGACCAATAGATTCAATAATAATTGTTTACAATGTTCATATACGATTGCTTTACTATGATCCATACCAAGAAATATTATATGTAACATAAGTGGTATATGTGGCGTCCAATCAACATGTATATCCTGTGTAATGACATCGCTCATCAACATTAATGCAAGAAAACATCGATGAAAACCGATCGCTTGTTGTTGATTATTCGATAATGATTGTTGTACAGGAACATTAAGATTATTATTCGAACAATCTTTACCGCTTAATAATTCTTTTAATGGTGCATAATAACCACCATATTCAGGCATTGGTAATGGTCTTGGTTGTGGTGTTGATGGTTTCATATAACGATCAGACATTGGTAATGAATCATCATTTGGTAATTCAATTGAACCATTATATTCATCGGATGATGAACTACCATTTAAGCTATCAAAATTTCTATATTGATCCATTGATGATTTATTATTATTCGTACCACCACCATTTGCATCATGATCATAGGATTTTGTATGAAAATCTTTACTATGACGTTTTGTATGTAATGTACCAATTTCGGTAATTAATGCACTAGTCGATGTATCACGACTATCATTTGTTGTGTTACCCGGTGCTGTACCGATCGTTGTACGACGATGAATTGCATAAGTAGAATTATTATGACCATAATTATTATTACTTGATTCATGATCTTCAAGATGTGTGGCCGAACATTTACGATGAACAATACGAAAATATGGAAATGCTTCAGTACGTTCAGCATTAAAACTTAATAATTCAACAGCCTGTAAATCGGCCATCAATTCATCGATTACACGTTCAGGCTGTGCACGTGCTAAATATATAGCGATACGTTTTGCATATGGTAATAATTCATTCGGTGATAATCCAGTCAAAATAAATAGATAACGAAATATTATCTTTAAATTGGCCGGACGATTTTGACATAATGATGCCCAAACTTTTTCCAATTCTTCCGGATAATTATCACCAAATTTTACAGTTATATAAAGAAGATTATTCAATACCATTTGTGTTGATTCAATTGATCCCCAACCATAATTATATTGATCATCATCATCATGTGAATATGAATAATCAGGATTTTGTTGTGCAACATTTGCCGGACATGTTGTATCAACTAATTGCATATTATATAACCATGGTATTAGAAATTGTAAAAGATTATGACAAACATTTGGTAATGATGTTTGAATACGATATGTTATCTCACTGAATACAATCATTGTAAGTTGTGGATGTAGTTGAGCCATTCGTTTTGAAATATTTAACATTGAATAACGATAAAGATCGATTAATAATGGTTCAAAACCTTTTACACTTGTTCCCGAACGATTATGATCATCGATAATTGTTGTTGTTGCAATCTGAATATTTATTGTTTGATCATTTGTTTCTTGTGGTGATATTTTTTTCGGTTGTTCCTGTAATAATCGACTATTATAATCACGAAAATTATTTGTTGAGAAAAAAAATCGATTATCCAATATTTGTAATAATTGCAATGCTAATTGTTGAATTTCGATTCTTGGACAAGCAACATTGATCATCGTAACAATAATGATTGCAATATAACGATCACATGGATATTCACGTATAGAAAATATTGTTGCTAAAGCAATGAAACAACTATCAGCAATTTTTGCCGGTCTTGTATAACAACATTCAATTAACCATTCAAGTAATGTACCAGCTTCGGTATTATTTTCCAATAATAAAATCAATGTTTCCAATCCAATATCATTGATACGTTTTTCCGATGCATTCAATAGATTCAATAACCATTGATAAAGATTTGAATTATCAAAAAGATAATTTTTCGAATCAAACATTGGTCCAGCACATAATACAGTTGCCATTGAACGTATTGATAGAAATTCTAATTCGGTTATAAAACTAAAATCCAATAATTGTTGACCAGTATTTTTTTGTTGTTGCTGATGATGATGATGATGATGATGATGATTATGATGACGAGGACTATGATTGTTTAGTTGATTATTATTATTCAATAACATATTACCATATTTACCACTCCATGTAGCAAATAAATTAAATAAATTATGACGTAATTCACGAGAAAATTTTGATTCTCTTGTTTCAATGGGAAAACTTTTGATTAGATTACAGATAAAATGACAAAATGATTCTTTAATATCATTTGTACTACATTCTTTATCTGTTTCACTTTCAAAATATAATCGTACACCATCAATATATTCAATCAATGTTGATGATAAACCAATTGGACATTGTGCAAATATTTTTCTTTCCGAAATAAATTTAAATAGACGACCAATTTGTACTCGTAACATTTCCCGTCGTTTACGACGTCGTAGATTTTCCTGTTTTCGATCAATTGCTTCACGAAAATAAGGCATTAATTCTTCAATCAAATCAGGCAATGCATATGGATTGATTTGTGAAAGACCTAATATAACCGCATTTCTAAGATCAAATTGTTCAGCTCTTAGTAATGGAATAGTTTGTTTGAATAGATTCTGTGCACTACTACCACGATTCATTATTGGTGAACGATTACCTTCAATTGATGTTAACTTTTCCGAAAGCGGATCAGGTGATGGACAATTATCATTAACATTTGATAAATAAGATGAAACAGGTATTGATGATGGTGCAATACTACAGGCAAACATTAGATAAGATTTCCATAATTCAAGATAAAAATTTCTTTCATATGATGATATTGAACGTTTTAGATTCGATGTTGTACGTAGAATCGATGATGCACGATTATCATTCGCCGGATTTGGATCAATATTTTGAAACAATGTATTTGATCGTTGTCGTACGATTGGCCATGCAGCAGCAATTGCATTTGGACAATGTTTTATCACTTCAGCCATTAATGACATTAAACATATATTCCATGCATTCAATTTAAGATCATCATCATAATTATTTGTCATTGTTGTTGTTGTTATCAATGATGATGTAGTATCCAATGGAAAAGATTCTGTTTGTGATTTGATTGTTCCGGTTGGATTATTGTTTCCAGTTGTTATTGATGATGAATCAATTATTTTTTGTTGATGAACACTAACACTATTACCAATATTATTCGTTATTATATTTGTTGTTGATTTTTGTTGATTACTATTATTATTATTTTCATTATTAATACGATCAGATATCCATGAATTGTTTGTACGTTCAGCAATCCATTGTAAATCAACCTGATATGACATTGACATAATGGTTGTACGTTCATTTGAACTAATATATGGAAAACAATTTCCAATTATCATTGGACATGTAACATCAATAATTGTTGCAACTGGTTCATCATAAATTTTATTCACAGTTGATGATAATAATATATTTGATATAATACGAACTTCTTTAATTATATAACTTGCTAAACGACGATTTGGTTGTCTATAATGACATAACATTACTAATGCTAATCCTTCAACATTATATAAAACATTTGCTGTTTGATCCATTTTTGCTTGTAATGAAGGATTTAATGATGATTTTGAACCTATTTCAGGTATATTGCTTAACATTACTGAATTTGTTTGTTGTTGTTGTTGTTGTTGTTGCTGCTGTTGTTGAACAGTATTTTTCCATGATGTTAACAATTGTAACAACATTCGTAATGAATTCATTAATAAATCTTGATTTGAATCTTGAATTTCATGTAAAATAAAATTAATAAATCCATCGATTACATCTTCACGCCAATCAGCAAAATCAACAACTAAATTCTGTAATGCTTGAAATGCTAAAACATTCATTTCTTCATCAATATTTATTGTTAATCTTGAAAGTAAATCGATTAGATCAGATTTTGAAATACCATCCGGTATTAAACGTGGAATAGCTGCTACACATGTCCGGAATAGATCAATTTTTGGTTTACGTTCACCACTTAACATATCATCAGGTTCTTTTACATTTTGTATTGATGTCATCATTAATGGTCGACCAAATTGTGTATCCAATGCACGTAAAATTTCGCCTAATGTTTTTCGTACAAAAGGATAATAATGACTCATACCAATATTTTTAGCCATTTCATCGGTAAGCATTTTATTCAAAAATGTTTTCTTCACTCTTAATGTATTGCCTGAAGGAAGTACACCCAATGTTCTTGGCATAGGTGGTTCACCATCTTTTTGTTGTAAACTATCGGCAACAACTAAAAATGATCGTAAACCAATACTCATACGTTCCGGTGTTAATACCATTTTCATTGGTCGACCAACAGATAATAAATCGAATACAATTTCTTTCATTGCAAAATCTAATCGTTCCTGTGCAATGAATTGTATAATTTTGACAAAAATATTCAATGGTGTATCTCTTGGCACAACACCTTTTGATCCTTTTGGAAATAATGAATTTACAATCGAATGTAATCGAGTTTGTGTTGCCGTATTTGATTCACATTTAATACGTATCATATATACCCATAATAAACGATAAAGTGATTCTAATGCAACACGTGACATTTTTGGATCACGATTTTTTAGATGTCCAAGACACATTGCCAAAAAATAATGCCAATTTGTAAGGAAAAATGTTTTCTGACTAACGCATAGTAAACATGTGACCAATGGAAATAATGCCAGGCAATGTTTTTTCTTTGTACAAAGATCCAAACAAGGTGAATAAAGAAGTTCAACAAAATTCTTTAAACATGGAACATTAACTTCATTTTTAACAGTAGCCGCAACTGGTACAAGAATTTCGACAAATAATCCTGCAAGCGCATGTTTAATATCTTTATCTTTAACTTCTTGAAAATATTGTGCACATTCATGCATAAATTGAAATGATGCTTCAAATTCTTCAATCGGTACCATTTTTATTCGAAAAAATTTCATTCCCATCAATAACGATATAATCGAATGTGTTGTAATTGGACCTGGATCACGTGATCGTAATTCATTGAATTCATTCATGAAACATTTTCGTACCGATTGAAAACGTGAATGTGCCAATACACCGATTACTTCAGCATAAAGATCGGCAATCATATTAATATTAGCTAGATTAGGATTTGATTGTGCATCTTCACGAAATTTAAAATGTTTGAATGCAAGTTTTTCAATATGATTAGTTAGATCATCATAACCGGGATGTAATGGTAATTGTTTAAGAACTTCGATCAATACTAAACAAAAAATAAATTCAACAGCAAGATCACGTTTTTCCAACAGATAATAGATTTCAATATCCGAATTATCTAATGATTGTATATTCGATTTAGTCAATGATCCTGATTTTGTTGAAAATTGAGCCTCTTGATTTGATTTGATTATTCGTTGATTTTCTTCAGCAAATATGGCTGTTGCATCAATTTGTCGTTGATACCATTCGAATAATAAACGTAATTGTGATGGCAGACAATGTTCAGCTACCGTACCAAATGCAGTTAACAATTGATCAAATATTGGATCTTCACCACGTTGTAACCATTTTGCTAATGGTTTTTCCAATGATTCAGAGGTAAGAATTGTATCGATTTTTTTCTCAGTTAATACAGTAAATTCATGAAATAATTTACGTAATATCACTTCGCCCGGTTTTTCCGGAACAATATTATTATTATCAAAATGATTCATCATCATGATCAATTGATGATGTGCGTTTTTTAGTTGTATCAATGACAAAAACACCTAAACTATCATTGTTTTGACTAAAATTTACTGACAATTGATGAAAACTATGCAACAACAACACTCTCAGATGCAATTGTATTTGGGAGTTGTCAATTTGATGAAAAACAAATTCAAAATAAAAAACATTTAAAATAAAACTTCTTTTTTCTTCACTCTCAAAATTTTATTTTGATTAAAATCCAAAAACAAATCTCGAACGAAATAACAAGAATCCATCAATAAAGGACGAATTACTCGCGGCCGCGTCTGAAGAAAGTGATATTACGGTAAAAAGATATATCGTCTTTGTGAATGGTCCATTCGAATTAGAAGAAAAAAAATTTTGTTTTTGTGGCAGATTTTCGTTCGGAAAAAAAGTCCGATCGATTTTTGACAACCTAAAAGTATTTAAAAAGTTCAACATCGTCACTGATGGCCATAATATTTTTTTTTCTTCAATTCGATAATTTTTAATTGAATTAACTTTAACAAAACAACATTTTTTTTATTCATATAATTGTGTTTAGTATTTTATGGCAGTACAAAATTTTTATCAAAACAGAACAAAAAAAATTATGGGATTATCATCTGCTGCTCGTGGTCATATGCGTCCATTTGGTGGTCGTAGTCCACCATTTCTTGTTGCAACATTATGTGTTGGTCTTTGTGTTCTTGGTGTTAGTTATTGGCGTCTTGGTATCCAATATAATGATCTTGAAAGTCAACTTTTACGTTTGATACAGAAAAAAAATTCATTAGAAGCAGATGTATCGTTCATTAATAAACAATTGGAATCACGTGAAGAAAATTTTAGTAAAGCTAAAGTAAATTTACAGAATACAGAAAATGATTTAACTAATCTAAAGAATCAATTTGATGAACAATCGGAAAAATTAAAAACAATGCAAAAAACTAATGAAAATTTTGAACATTCGATGGATGATCAACGAAAACAGTTGGAAGCAAAAGAAACAATCGTCAGTGAATTACGCAAACAAAATCAAGCTTTGTTGGATGAAAATCAAAAACTTAAATCTGATTATACTGAAGTAAAATCACGTTTAGATTCGACATCAAAATTATCGAACAAAAATGTTGATGATTCTAATTCTAATTCTAATTCAAAAGCTCAACAACAATTACAAACAAACAATATGGAACAATCTAAATCCATAAATGTGATACATTCACCACCATCATTGAATAATAATCAGGCTGCATCATTATCCAAATCATCATCATTACCATCATCGATGGATTCGAATAAGAATATTATTCCTGCTCCCGGTATTGTTGCCGAAGCACAATCTTCACAATCACAAGCTATTCCAGAAACGGCAAAAGAACAACCTCCTCAACAAAATTCTGATCAAAAAGATCATTCAAATGAACAAATTCAAAAACCAAAAATTGATCCTGTTATAAAATTAATTAAAAATAATGTAGGATTATTGGATAATAATGATCATCAAAGGCAACCAAAATCGGCTGAAAAATTTGATAATGGTCATCAAAATGATAAATCAATGATGTTTGATAATGTTGATAATGATGGTAATAATTTAAATGGTAACGATGGTGGTGGTGGTGATGATGATGGTGGAAATAATGGTGGTGGTAAAATGATCGATGATAAAGATGCATTACTTGATTCGAATAATATCGATGATAATAATAATACTCTGCTTTGATAATTGTTTCAAAATCATTCTATCATTTTAGATTTATCATATAAATATAGCAAAGAAAAACAATTATTCAAAAGATTTAGGTTAGATGTTTTTTTTCTGTGTTTTAGCATCTGTTCTTTGTAATTTATTTTTAACATTTTTTTTTCATTTCATTGAATGTATAAAAATTTTTACAATATGTATTAATGTGATTAATTGATAAATAATAATAAACTTAATTATGCATTTTATTTATCATTATTTTTTTTTTCGTTTGAATTTAAATCGGAATCGGAATTTTTTTCTTTAGATTTTTTTGTCGCCGCCTGTTGATTACTAATTGTTGGCGATGTTGTTGATTGTGATTTTTGTCGTCGTCGTCGTGAAAGCTTAGGATCAATTTTAACTATATTCGATTCTTCTACAACATCATTGCCACCAATTGTTGATGTTGTTGATATAGTATGACAACGTGATAATGAACTATTATTTTTATGATGATTCAAATTTGAATCGCTAGTATCATCAATGGCCATTCTTCGAATCGGTACTAATAGATTGAATTGTGGACGTATCATTACTTTACGATAAAATGTTTGTAAATTATTCATTTTAAACAATGAATGTATATAACATTTAAGAATAGATCGTACTTGAAACCATTCACTTGAAAATCGTCGTTGTTGTTGATTTTGTTGTTTACGCATTATTCGACCAAATTTTCGAATTATATAAATTAACCAAAACATATTTGTTCGTGGATAAAAACCAATCCAATCGGTTCGTACCTCTGAAGCCATTGCTTTATATGTTTCATTTTGATGTGCAAGCTGATTGTTATTTTCTGCATCGACACGATGTTCAAAATCTTTTGCATCAAATAAATGTGATAGATCTCGATAATGAATTCGATTTTCTAATGATTAAAAGCGAAAAAAATATGACAGAAATTAAGAAACAAATATCACACTGCTTCAATAAATTCTTACTGATTTTTAGACGTGAAAATGTTGTATCAATCACTTTGACCAATAGATTATTAGATGGCATCTGTAAAAATTGATCATCATAAACATAAATCAATTGTTCATATGGTGATGGTTTGACCAGAATATTTCCCAGATGAAGATCACGATGTTCAAATTCGAATAATTTTTCGGCAATTGTAAAGCCCAATAATAATTGTTTGGCTACCGATAAAATTTCCAATGGTCGATAATTTTCCATTTGATCATATAATGATTGACCACAATCTTCCATTTTGATTGCTGCTACTTCGGGTGCGATTCTTCTTTTTACAACTGATAATGGTTGTTTACTTCGACCAGCACTCATTGTATTTCCATCATCATCATTATCATCATCATCGTTATTATTATTATCGTCATCACCATTATTATCATCATCTTTTTTTTCACCATTCAATGGTGGTTCCATTAATTTTCGATAATCAAAACGAAAAACACATTTAGATTTTTTATCCGTTTTTGTTGTTGGAATTTCAAAATAATCGGGCATCATTGAATGATTTATCAAATAACAACCATAAACATATGGAAATAATGGACATTGATATCCAAGATTTGTATAACGAATACCAATATTTAGATAGGAAAGACTAGTCGATATACGAAATTCATTATAAGCATCTTTATAATTTGATACTGAACTTGATGTTTTAACACCGAATAAATTTTCAATAATACCTTCACTAAATACTTCAATAAATTTAATAATACTATCATTTGACATTAATAATGGATCATTTTGTAAAATATCTTCACATTGTTGATTAATAATTTTATGTCGATAAACTTGTGCATAAGAACCGGAACCAATATATTCAAAATGTTCGAATTTCGAACGTTTAGGAAATGCCTGTTCATAACTAACGGAACGTTTTGGTATTGATAAATTTAATAATTTTGAACGAAATTTATCTTCATTTAAGATAAAATTAATCTAAATAATTTTTTAATGATTTAATTTGTAATTAATATTTTTCAAACAACAACTATTTACTTACAATCATTCGAAAATAACCTTTTTCATAAACAGTTTTTTGTGGTTTATGATCACGACGATGACCATGATGATGATGATGATTAAGATCGATAATATTGTTTTCCTTGTTGTTCATCATTATTATTATTATTATATCCAGATATGTTTCTTCTATCCGTCCGTTTCAATCAATCAATCAATGCCGATCAATCAAGAATTTTCTAAACTTTCAAAGTGAATTTAATGGCCAATTTGTTCTTTTAAATTCTACATTTTTGTTTTGTTGTTGTTTCAAACAAAAAAACAAAACCAAACTGAACTTAATCTTAATCGAATCAAACAACAAACAAATTACATTGTTATACAACTTTTTTTTCGAAAAGACACACAAAAAAAAATTCGAGGAAAAAAATTTTTGAAAATTACCAGGAAAAAAATTGATAATCTTTATGATTTGATTTTCCTCAAAATTTTTTCAACCATCATCATCATCATCAATATGTTGAATGGGAAATGTTTTCATTTCAATTTTATATCGAATACCGAAATCATCATAAGAAAAAAAAATGGACAAACGGCTTCATTGGTTATTCTGTTTGATTTATATTGTTATTACAATGATAACATGGTATGCTGGTTATCATGCATATTGTATACGTGGTATATATCAAGGACCAATACCGGAACAAGCAACCGATGAATTAATTAGATATATTTATCATCCATTAATGGGTTTATGTAAGTATGAATGTTAATGATGTTTTATTATTTTCATTATTTTTTTCACAAACAAAATTTATTTATATTTTTTTATATAGTAAACATGACAACAGTTTGGGCATTAGTAGCCGGTGCAACATTATGCTGTTCAATTGGTATGATGAATTTTATGCAACGAAAAGAATTAAAATATAATTTAATGATAATGTCAATCATGTTTAATGTATTATGGTGTATAATTCATTTTCTTGAATGGGCAAATGTTATTGGTTAATTTCAAAAAATATATTTTCGTTTTTTTTTTCATTATAAAAAATCTTATAATAAAAGATCATGTTGTGATGAACGTGGTGTTGAAAGATCTAATAATAATTGTGGTGTTTCAGTTTCTTGTTGTTGTTGTTGTTGTTCATCATCATCTAATTCTATACTTTTACGATGATTACGTTTTAAATGTTTTCGATAAAGACAATTCCAACATTGAATTTGTCTTCGTAATAATCGTTTTAATGGAATTCCATTTTGTTTCAGTAATAAAAATGGACTATCTTTAACAGTGAATTTATTATCCACAACAGAATGATTACTACTTTTTACCGTTGTTTCACTGGTTCGTCGATCTGATGGTAAATCGTTTTGACCACCGGATTGACCATCATCACCAGGCGGAGGAGGAGGTTGATTATCATCATCATTGCCATCATGATCACTGGCTATACTTCGTCGTTGTCGTTGCGGTGGTTGTTGTTCTTGTTGTTTTAATGTTTCAATCTGTAGACGAGCTTCAGTCATCGAATCCCAAAGATGATCAATTTTTGAATGTATATTCAATAACATATTTGTCTGTTGCCAACTTGTTTGCATATAAGTTGCATAAAAATTTTTTGAATCATTTATCTCTTCACTTGTAATAAATTTTCTTTTATAATATGCATGTTTTAATAGAAATACAAATTTTACTGCAATCGGATTAAAATATTCATGCATATCAGATGATGGTACATTTGGTTGACTGGTAAATTGTAATGAATGATTAATTGATGATATACGAACTAATAATGGTGGATCATCTTCTTGTCGTCGTTGTTCTTCTTTACATATTCGATATACTCGCCATGCATTTTGTACCATTGCAGCACCGAAATTCTGTCGTAATGTTCCAGCCATACTACATTCTTCTTCACATTTTAATGCTAATGCTGCACCAACAATACCTGTCGGAAGACCAAATAACCAAACACCAAGTATCATTGCAAATGCTGTTACAATTTTGCCTGCAGTTGTTACTAATTATCAGGAAATTTGATCAATTTGAAGTATTTTCGATTTATCATAATTTTAAAAAAAGAAAGATTAAAACTTACTTGGTGCAGCATTACCATAACCAACAGTAGTAAATGTAACAACAGCCCACCAAACAGAATTAGCAACCGTATTAAAATAATCATTAAAAGGTTGTTCAATAAAATACATAAGAAAACCGAATGAAAAAACCCATACTGCACAATAATAAATCGAAACCATTAGCTGAAATCTTTCCGACCAAATTGCTTTCCATAATAAACGAATCATAACAAAACGATTCTGTAGAAACCAAATCATACGAAAACCACGTAAACCGGCAGCCAATGGTAACCAAACACAATCCATTGCAACATCAGCAATTGTTACACCAATAACAAGCATATCAATAATATATAATGGATTTATTAACATCCAATATATTCCATATGGACCTGAATATTGTGGTAATACAGTTGATGCCCATACATTTAATATAAATTCTGAACAGAATATAATCAAACAGGAAAGATCTAACCAAAATAATACAATATATTCGGTTTGACTACCAACATCTATGAAAATCAAGGAATTTGAAGAAAAAAAAATTTGATTTGAATTTTTTGAATTTGAAGAAAATTGATTGATTAACATGATTGAACTTACTAATTTGCATAAACATTGTGACCAGAATACAAACCGTTATCAACATCATCATAAAAATTTGATAACAAATACTAAGCCAATGTCTTGGTACATGTAAAAACATATAGACAACATATTTATTTCTTGGTGTATTGATTAATCGTACCAATAATGGTTGATGAAATTCAAACATTTTTTTTCTATATTTTCGTTTTAATTACTATTTTCAATTATGTATCAACAACACCAATCGTTTACAAATTGAAAAATGAATTGATCGAAAAACAAAAAATCGATCGATCGATCCGATAAATCGAATTTAGCTTCAGAACATGACTAGACATTCAATCGGGCAAACAAAAAAATGGTCCAATTTTCAAGGTAATCATCATCATTGGTTGTTTGATGAATCGATAAATAACTATCAATAATATTACCATATTGATCATATTGATATAATAATTTAGGTTAATTATGGTCAAAATAATTCATATATTCACAGAAAAATTTGTTTTTCAAAAATGAATTAGCAATATTTTTTTCTCCTCTCACCAACTCCCCTAGCTTCCCTCCTCCTCCTTCCTATCGAATCAATTAAATCAAATCAAATTAACATTATTATGAATATAAGAACAGAATGAATTTTCTGTGAATTTTTAAAGAAAATTTTTATTTTATTCAAATTCGATCCAAACAACAACAACAACAGAAAAAGATTCAACCGGATGGGTTTATTTGATTTTCTTATAGGAATTTGTGTTATGGTAGCCATATTATTTGCTTTTTATTATTATGTTTGTTGTGGTGGTTCAAGATTTTCTAGTCGTAGTAGTCGTCGTCGTCGTGGTCGTTCAAGAAAATCATCATCAATAAAAAGATTAATATCATTAGGATCGGCAACAGCATTAAGTAGTAAATCAAAATCATTAAAATCAAAATCTAAATCATTAAGATCTAAATCGAAATCAAAATCAAAATCTCGTAGTAGACGTAGTAGTCGTCGTCATAGTAAAAAATCTCATCGTCATCATCATGATGATGATGATGATCAAAGTAGTAATAGTATCAATGATAATAGTGAAAGAAAAAGGAAGAAATCAAAAAGTTTGGATGAAGTTTAAAATATTTTCAAAAAAAAATTTATTTTTATTAAATTCAATATCTGTGTATTTTATTATTATTAAAAGAATGTAATGATTATCCATAATTCGTAATACAAATCAATATTTTGTGTTTGTTTGTTTGTTTTTTGTCAAGAAAAGTGTCTAGAAATTTTACAATCATTAAAATTTTGAAAGCAAAAATCAAAGCTACTAAAAAAAATTGGGCATAAAAATTTTTCAAAGTGTATGTGTGTGTGAGGGTTATTATGGAACAAACATTTCAAGAGCAGCAATGTATTTCAGGTAAAATAGAGTTGGTTTGCCTCCTAAGAATTTTATTTATTTATCACGAACAAAAATATTATGATTATGATGAATGATTGTGTTGATGAAAAATGGGAACAACCAAAATCAAATCAATCGATGAATTTTAAAGAGAGAAAAAAAATTGAAAGCTATATATTGATTTTTGAAGCTGCTACATTTGATTCAATTGATTGAAATGATGTGGCTTGTTTTTGCAAATGTTTAAAATGAGAATTGAAAAAAAAATTTACATAAATTGCGATAAAGAGAATATAATCATCTTTTTCCAAATCAGTTTTTTTGAGATGATCATGTTCATTTGAAACTTTGTTTAAGATTCTCCATTACCACTATCATCATCATCTTTTTCTTCATCACAATATTCTTCATCATCAACATCATAATTATCATCATCATCATCATCATCATCATCATAATCTTCATCAACATAATAATCGGCTAAATCCATATCTAAATCTGGTTTATGTTTATGTTTAATACAATATTCTTCCAATGTTGTAGGCACAATAACATCATCTTTTTCGGCTTCCAATTTACTTGCGGCAACTTGTTTTCTAAATGAAAAACAAAAAATTATTGAGAATTTTAACATTTTACAATGAGATGAATGAAAAATGGAAATACATACTTGATTATATTTTCATATTCTTTATCTTTACCCTTTGAATCTTTCCATTTACGATACATTACTGATGCATCAACATTTGCCGGTGATGATGTATTTGGTTCATTCAACAATGATATTACACTCAACAATATTGTCCTTAGGAAATAAAAAATTTGAAAATTTTGATAAATTTTAATAGAAAAACAAAAACAAAAAAATACCTAATATTCTGTGTTGGATTCCATCGTTCACATGGTAATTCACCACTTTGTGGATCATCAACCGGTGGATGTAATATCGAAATGCAGAGATCACCATTCTATACAAAGATAAAATATTTAAAAAATGACAAAAAAAAATCAAAAAAAAAACTTACTTCATATACATTAGGATGCCAAACTTTGGTTAAAAATTTTAATGATGGTGGATTATATGGATAATCGGATGGAAATACAACACGTGCCTATCAAATTTCAAAATAAAAAAACAACAAGAATTTTTCAGAACAAAAAAAATCTCAAAAATAACCTTCAGCAAAAAAAGGAAACAAGATTAATGTTGTAATGAACAAATAAAAAACTAGATCAAGGTCTTTTGCTTGCCACACTTGCTTTTTTCATCAATCAAACATCCTAGGATCAACAACTTACTTTAAAATAACCACCTTGATAAAGTGTTTCAGGTGGTCCAAATATGGCCACTTCCCATTCAAATAGATTATCTTCATTTAATAATTTAACACGAAATCCTTCAACTGGTTCTTCTTGTAAACTGATAATGGCCATAAAAAAACAAAACAAACAAACAAAAATTAATTGAATAGACTAAATATCATCCATACAAACCTTTTGAATTCTAATGCCAATGTACGAATAGCACTAACATTAGCCTGACTAGTCGATGATGTGGACATTTTTTTTGTTGTTGTTGTTTTAATTGATAATTTGACAATAATTAAGTTGTTATAACCGCGTGTTTATTTTTCGGTTATTTTTTCTTTCATCAGGAAATGAAAAACAATAACCAATAAGAATGAATCTAAGAAAAAGGAAAAGAAAAAAATGCGAAAATTAATTTTTTTGAAGAAAAACAAGACGTCATCAATTTGTGAAGTTTTTTTTTGTTGTTGTTGTTAACGTAGCAAACACATAAAACATAATGTTAATTACATTTTTTTGTTTCATAAGAAAAACATATGATAATCTTGAAAACAAAAATGCTGCTTATATATTTGAAACTTATAAAAAGGTTAGATCATATGATGAAACACATACCTGGAATCTTTTCTTGCTTTTTGCTTTTTTTTAAATTCAATTTGAAAAAAATGAAGATCCTATTAAAATTTAAAACAAATTTCGAAAATTATCCAAAAGTTTAAAATCAATTTGATCGGATTTGTTTGTTTTTGTTTCTTAAAAAAAAGGACAACAAACGAAGACGATGCGTAGCGATGATGACATATACCAATATACGATGATAATTTGGCTGTGTTAAACAAAAAACAAAACAAAACAAAAAAAGAACGAAAAACAAAAATAAATCAAATCATGATCAAAAGAAGTATTCGAAGACAAAATATAGACATCATCATCATTATCATTGTCGAGAAAAATAAAACATTGAGCATAACATTTACATTTGGTTTTATCGAAAAACCGTACACCTACGGGCTATACGGTTATATTTTCTGCTGCTGCTGCTTTAAACACACAAAGATACCCGACCAAATAATTATTATGATGATGATAAGGAAAGAAAATATTCAAACACAAACAAATACAAACACATACATCGCATCAATATCAAATAGCAAAAAATTCATGAACGATATTTCATCAAGAAGATCTTATAAGAACATTTACTACTTTACAGCCATCAAATTACCACCACCACCGTTGTTCGCCACCACTAATTTTTTTCTTTCACTACGTTTTTTTTCTTCTTCTTTTGAACGATAATTCTAATTTTCGGGTTTTATTTTCGATTATTAAAATTTAAGAAAAAAAAATATGATCACGATGAACTTTGTCAGGATAATTAATTTTTGGATGTTTTGTTTTTTGTTAGTGTTGTTGGGCGAGCGCAACGTAAACAACGATTCATTTTTTTTTTTAATTTAACTTTTTTTTTAATTTTGTTTTTGGTTAATTCATAAATGTTGTTACGAAAATTTTAAATTTTTTTTTTAATAATCAATCTTGATACAGAGATATTAACGTCTTGTAAGTGCAATAATTCTTAATATCATAAGGAATAGATTGATTATATTAATATAAAGATGTATAACGGCAAGAACATATTCTTCGGGTGATATTTCAACTTCACGTCCACCTAATATTGCTTGTGTATCGATAGCTAAATACTATTTAAAATGAAAAGAAAGTAATTTTTGTGTTAGAAACAAAACAAACAAACGAAAAAATTCATATTTACAATGGTAAAAACAACAACACCAATTGCTGAATAAATAATTTGAGTCGTACGATCATGAATAAACATCATTGCAATACCGGCAATAAAAAATATTATTAATACGATAAACATTATACATGACCATCTTGTAAAATCAAACTAATTAAAACAAAAAAAAAAACGGCTCAATATTGAATTCAATTTGATAATTAGTTGTAATTTTATTTACCGATGTTGAAGCACTGAATAATGAAACAAGTAAACAAACAATAAATGTTATACCGGCAGCATATAATAAACTTTCTAAATCATATTGTAAACAAATAAAGGCCATTACGATTGCCAGAAAAAATGTCTGCCGAAAAAACAAAACAAAAAGAATTGATTTAAAAGATCAATATTCAATAAAATTGAAAGAATCTTACGAATAACATCAGTAGAACATAATTATTCGGTACGGTACGTCGACATGATTCACAACAAATCAATGTAAAATAAATGACCAGATAAGCTACCCTGTAAATGTATAAATATTTGTTATCAAATTATGAAATTTTAAAATTAAATTTTTGGAAAAAAAAATTCTTACAATGAACCAATATAAAGTGCACCGGCACTTGGACCAGTGAAAACTTGATTAATTTCTTTGCTATACAAAAAAAAAGAAAGAAAAAAGTTTAAAATAATTTGATATTCTCTATATACCACTTAACTTGTTTCTAGCCAAAAATATAATCAATGTTGTAAATGCAAATTGTAATGCTAATATTCCATAAACTTTACGTATAAATGCATTACGTATGGTAATAGAATTGAATGTTGAACCAAAATCAATTGAACGATGTGGACTTGGTGATCTACCGGATTCAACATCATATGAACCATGTGATTTACTATGTCTACCCATTTTTTTCTCTGTTATTATTATTTTTGTTTCAAAACAATTAAAATTGATTTCTTTGTCAACGAATGATAGTAGAAAAAATCGAGACTAAATTAAATTCCTAAAATTTGTTTGCCGGGCCAATTTTTTATAAGATTTTTGAAATTCGAAAATTAATTATAATTAACAAAGGTTGGTGGAGCCACTGTCGCTGTTTATTGTTGTTTCCTAATTCGATTTTGTTGAAACACATTGAATTTTTTTTTTAATTTTGTTTTGTAAATTCGAAATCATTTTTTTTTTGACGATAAAAAACAATGGTTTATCTAGTATTATTACAAAAAGATTTACGTCAATTTGATAATCCAGCATTATATCATGCAGTACGTCGACAAAAACAAGTAATTGTTGTTTATGTGATGGAAAAACGTTTAGGTTTAACATCAAAATGGTGGCTTTGTAGAAGTTTACAAACATTTTTTGAAGAGCTTGATCCATTTTGGATACCAGTACTTTATCTAGATAATTCGGATAAAATTTCCGAATTATTTGAATATCTAAGTAAATATATTGAAATCGAACGAATACATTCGAATGGATTGGATTTCGAATTACCGGATGATTATGATGAAATCCATGATTCATTTCAACCTAATTTGATATTCAAACCCGAAGATATGATTAAAGAATATAAAATATTTACACCATTTTGGAAATCTATTCATGCTAATTGTTCACCAGTAAAACCATTACCGATTCCCGAATATAGCCGAAAAAATTATGTTGATCTTGAATTCGATGAATACATTGATTTACCGAAAATGGACGATTCGGATCGATGGAATCAAATGGATCAATATTGGAAAATTGGTGAAAAAGCCGCTCAAGAACGATTTGAATCATTTGTAAAAACAAAATTATCGGATTATGATCATGGAAGAGATTTTTTCTGTGAAGATGGTACATCCAAATTATCACCACATTTACGTTTTGGTGAGATTAGTGTTCGACAAATCTATGAACGATTGAATACAAAATCAACTGAACGTTTTTGTTCGGAACTTGGATGGCGTGAATTTGCATATCATGTTAATCGATATCATCCGGATATGACAAAAATACCACTTAATCCAAAATATCGTGATTTTTGGCCCGAATTCAGTGATGATCATTTGGAAGCATGGAAAACTGGAAATACTGGATTTCCTGTTATTGATGCTGCTATGCGTGATATATCGACTACTGGATGGATGCATAATCGTCTTCGTATGTTGGTTGCATCATTTTTAGTTAAAAATCTTTTAATACCATGGCAAATTGGTGAAGAATGGTTTTATGAACATCTTGTTGATGCTGATCCTGCTATTAATCCATTCAGTTGGCAATGGGTTGCCGGATGTGGAACTGATAGTGTACCATATTTTCGTATATTTAATCCAATGTTACAAGGTGAAAAATTTGATTCAAAAGGTATTTATGTACGTAAATGGTTACCAGAATTTGCCGATTTTCCATTGAAACAAAATATTCATCAATATATAATTAAACAACCACAACTTTGTCCAAAAAATTATCCTAAACCAATAATTGATTTTAAATCAAGTCGTGAACGTACATTATCAACATTCAAAAATATTGTTGCACCAAAAGTAATTCAATTAAAAAAACCACGTCTAGTATAGTTTATTTATCATCATCATTATCCATTAACAAATGACAATAATTTTGTACACGAACATCTTTGATATCATTACCAATCATTGTTATTAACCGTTTTAATCGAAATTGTATTTGTTCATCATCATCATCATTATCTAAAAACAGTAAATGTTTTTTTTTGTTAAATTTTTATATATAAACATATCAAGTCATTTTTCATTACCGATTTGTATGTTCATCTTTTTAAAAATGATGACTAATAATAATAATCCATTAATAATAAAATCGATTAAATATTTTCTACATTCAATTGATGATAAAATTTTTATAATTGATTCTTTTTGTCCAATTGATTTGGCTACAATTGGATGCCAAACAATATTACATAATCCTTTTAATGATGTGATTGCAATAAAATCATCAGTCGAATCGATTGATTGTAAAAATAAACAATGTATTGACATTGAAATTAGATGACCATAATTTTCCGGATTATAGGCAAAATTTGCCAAATTTGATAATGTTTGTTTTCGTGCATCCGGACATTTAGTTGTTAAATATTCATCATATAATTCTTGTAGATATGATGATCTTTCTGAATCAAAAAATTTTGGCTCACGGCATTTACGTTTACGTTGTCTAACATTCATTAATTTTTTTCTTTTTGGCTGTAACACCTGTTGATTTCTTTCTTTTCAAAAAAAAATAATGAATTAATGATTCTTTTTCTAATCTTGATTTAATCAATCAATCAATCAATCTTAAAAAATAATGAATAGATTTAAATTTACAAAAACAAAAAATCAAAAAAAATAAATTCAATTGAAATTATAATACAAAAATCCAATCAGATGAAATTGGACAAAAACATTCGAATAGCAAAAAAGAGGAAGTGGTATACGCACACATGCATTACTATATATTTGATTGGGTAACAGCATACAAATAACCAGTATCAATACCAGAAAAAAGGTGTGTTGATCCATTTTTTTTCTGTTTGAGATAGAGAATCCAATTCTTTACTTAAATTATTGCTACTAGCATCGGTGAAAAAAAATGATATACTTTTATATATCATCGGTAGTAGCAGTATGAGGATATTCAAAAAAAAAAGACAAAGAATTTCCAAAAAGAGGATCTTCGCGAAAATCCTATGCTACTACCGCTACCGCTACCGCTACTTTTGGGATAATAATCAGGTTTCGGGTATACATACTCTCACAATTTAAATTGTTTCAATTTGGCCAAGATATTGAAGCGGCCGCCGTTTTTTCACTATCATTGCTGCTGCTACTGTTGTTGTTGTTGTTGTTGTTGTTTCTTGTTGTCGCCGATATCCAATTCGCGTTCGATTGTCGTGTTGTTGGTTTATTTCCATCATGTTTTTTGTGTGATGTGTATTTTTTGTTTGGTTTTTTTTCTTTTCCTCTTTTTTTTTGGTGTGTCCATTTCGAGAAATATATATTGAGAATAAAAAAACTTATTTCGGATAATTCTAGATTTTCGGTAAATGTTTTTTAAAAATTGAAACATTCCCGAGCAGAAGAATATATCAGCTAAACAAATCAAAAAATTCAATTTATCAATGTTTTTGTTGTTGTTTTGTTCGATTGTTTCCAAATTCAATCAATCAAATCAAAATAAATGAATAATATCAACTCCCGAAAATAGTGATCATCATCTCCATCCAAAAAAAAGAAAACGATTTTTTTGGTCTTCAATTTGAATTTAGTTTTTGTTTGTTGAATCATTCGAAATTGTTTTTCAACACCAAACACCAAAGGTAAGGTTATCCAGGTTTATTCTGCCTTTTTTTTCGATGAAATTCAAATTCTATTCCATTGAAATCACATAGAAAAAGTACACTTTTTTCCTTTTAATCTTTTGATTCGAATCAATGAAAATTATTCAGTTATTTTTCAAAGATTACATTTTGTTGTTTGTAGTTATTTGTATTCTTCTAAATAGTTTTATCGTTAGTTATTCTTGATAAATCAATATTAATAATGAAAATTTGGAATTTCGTTTTTTTCCCTTCTGTGTTTACTGTTGAAAAAAATAAGTAAAAATTCTTTGGAAAATTTCCCTTATGATTCGTCGCTGTTGTTGTTTTTTGATTCATTCGTCGAATTAATTCACTTTTAATATCTGAAGAGAATAGAAATTCTTGAGAATTATTTCGACCTGAAATAATGATGATGATGATGATGACGAAGTAAACAACAACAAAAACCTAATCAATTCAATGAATGAATTCTTGGAATATTTTTTTTTGTTCAATAGTCAAAACTCGATTCTGAATTATGTAATAATCTGTATGACTGAATATGGAAAAAAAATTTCTGACCATTAATGGGAGATTTCATCATTTAATTGGAATCAATTCTATTGAGAATATTGTAAAAATTATTCTGGAATTATTGAAAGAATCATTTTTTTCTTCTTCTCATAAGATTCGATTCCATTCAATGATCAACTATCATTATTGAATGAATGTATTATTCGGACAATTTGTGAAAACAATAAGTTCCTGATAAACTTGATTCGTTTTTTTTTCTTCACCATTCAATTCCACACTTGTTATTTATTCATTAATTTTTTTTTGTTGTTGTTGCTGCTCGAATTCAAATGTACATTCGTTATCGTCATCATTCATTCATTCTTTTTACGTAATTTGATTTCTTTGTAATTTTTGTTGTTGTTGTTGTTATCATTTTATATAGAAATTGTAACACCCACTACAAAATGAATTAAATTTCAATTTAATATTTTGTCATCATCATCATCATCATCATCATCATCAAGAATGAGAACAGAAACAAGGTAGAGTTACTTAAATAATCAAAAAAAAAATAGCATATGAAATGAATGTAGAGTGTGTACATGAAATTGAAATTGAAAAATTCTTGTGTTCAAATAAGGAATGAAAAAAAGAATTGAATTTTAAAATCAAAATTATTTTCATATTTTTGATTTCTTTTTCTGTAATTCTGTTTTCTCAATAAATTTCTTAAAGAATTATTGATGATGATGATGATGAACATCAACAACGCCATCAATGTTTTTTTTCTTGTTTCTATTTTGAAACATTTTGTTACATAAACAGAATCAAGAAATATAATGATGAATTGACAAAATATTCTATTATGTGTGACCCTGTGGTTCGTCTTTTTTTTTGGTTTTGTTTTTCATTTTTGGTTTTTCTCTTGATTCATTTTATGTAACTCTAAAATATTTCCAAACACACACATAGCAACTAGGGATTTTTTCCCCTCAACAACAGAATACAATGTTCTTTTTTTTTGAAACATGCTCATTTTCATTTGTTTTTTTTTGTTTCTCTCACTGCTAGAATTTTCGATTCAATTTCATTACAAAATGGAGAAGCTTTTTTTTCTTACCCATCCATTCTATGTGTGTTCGATTTGGAAACATTGCTTGAGAAATAAGAAATTTTGTATATACCAATTTTCAGGAGAATTTTTCACATGTATCTTTTTGTTTGATTGTTCATTGGAACCAAAAAAATGAAAAACTTTAGGGACAATAAATTGTTCAATGAAGATTTTTTTTTTATTCTTGATCAATTCCATGTAAAATATCATAGGATTATTGAAATTGATATTCCTCTATCTATCCTTAATTTTTTTTCCTATGCTATGTTTTTTTTCCATTGAAAATATGATTATCGTTATCGGGCCTTATTTTTTTATGGACTAAATTTTTCTCGAGAAAATTTCAGAAAAGAAATGACACGATACAAATGAGTAAATGAATAAATAATCATAACATTGCTTTTGGCATATTTTTTTTTAGTATAGATAAAAGAATTTTAAATTACACTGGGTTTCAAATGTTTTGTTTCCCATTTCATTTCAAAAGAAATTTTAAATCTTGTTTGTTTTTTTTGGCATATGTGTATTTTGCCTCAATGATCCAAGAGTAGAAAAACTCATTGAAATTAATTATTTTTTTCTACGGAAATTTAATCTAATTTGAGCAAAAAATGTTTTTCCATTTTGTTTCTCATCCTATTTTTTCCTGTTTTTTTTCCTTATTCCAAGTTTGAATTTCAAATTATAATCGTTTTGTTGTTGTTGTTGTTGTTGTTGATTCTTTGAATTTCTAATGAATAAAAGCTTTTCATGGCCATCATCATTTTCGTTTAAATGTTGATGTGCATCAATTTTTTCTTTTGAAAATAAGATTGAATCAAATTTCCCTTTTTTTCCTATTTGCTGTTTTTGTTTTTGTTTATAAGAATGATCAACATTAGTTTATAGGAAAAAAAGAGAAAAAAAACTGTCGATTCGATAGATTTTTGATGTATAAATTCTTGCTAAATCTTACAGAATCTGATTCACTAAGTAAAACTGGTGATGATTTTGTTCCATAGAAACACATTAAGAATATGATAAATGTTATGATTTTCATTCATCACATGTTGAGACTAAAAAAAACAACATCATTTCTTTTCATGTGTAAAGATGTTTATAATAGAGAAAGAGAGATTTTTAGAAAAAGCGTCAGTATTCAAGTTGGTTTTTCTATTTCTATTTCTAATTTTTTTGGAATTTTCTTTGTTTGTTTGACGTCGATCAATGAATGGGGAAAAATACTGTGAAAATTTTTCCAAAGAAATTCATTTTTTCCGAATCTTGTTTTTTTTTAAATAATTTGTTTATTGTCTTTTATTATCTACTGTAAAAGGTGTACGTGTGAAGTACAGGTTTTTTCTTCTTCTTCTTCTTCATTGCCATTGAATAATTGCGTGTTCAATCCTTTTCTTTCCAACAACAAAAAAAATTCCAAGAATCCTTTTTTTCGATCCTGATTATGATGATGATTTATGTATCGATCATCATCATCATCGTCAGCCTTTTTGAGAAATATGAATTGCAATTTGCATTGACAGAGCTATGATTTTTTTGTTTGTCTTCTATGTAAATTGTCTAACCTTGATAACTAGCTAAGAAATCATTATTGTCTTAGGTCGTTTTTTATCGATTGATTGTGTTTTTTTGCATTTATTTGGAAAACGTGATGATTGGTCTCATGTGATCTCTTACATCATTGATTTATATGGATCATTTTTCATTGATCATTGGTATAAATATGATCTGTTATAATTTTTTTGTCATTAGTTGATGATCAATATATGAAAATCAAAATCATTAATGAAAATTATATTGAAATGATATGATATCGGTTATTTTCTTATCTCGTTACGATTTGATTTTCATTTCGATTTTGCTTTTTAGTTTTTTTTAATTTCTCAGAATCATTATCGATTCATACACAAAACTGATAAAAAGAAAACAAACTTATTCGAATTTCAAATGAAAGAATTGTATTTTTCTCATATTCTGAATTTCTTTTATCATTATTTGATTTTCTAACAAATATAAAAAACAATGTTAAAGTTAATAAAGATTATTAACCGTTATAATTAGGCCATCATCATTATCATTATAATGATAAGCATGTTAGACAGAAAAGAGGGATATCAATTAAATGTAAATGAAAAAAAAATTGTTTCGATTTTTCACTGGAATCAATTTCAAATCGTACTATGCAACGTTTATCTCTGTTTAATCTGACAAAAATTCATTCAATTTCCCTCTTCAATTTTATTCATTTATATTTTTATCATAATTTCATAAAGACATATTGTTCTTTTCTAACATTTGTAATGAATATTTTGGTAAAATGTTAAAAAATTGATAAATTTTAACAGTAAATTGATTATTTATTAATCAGTTTACCAAGGTCATCACACATTATTATCAATTGAATCTTTTTTTTTTGTAATTCAATATTTATATATAATGTGAACCAGTGACAAGAAAAACAGAAAATAAGCTGTAAGTACAAACTACTTGAAAAATATTTTCATAGTCAAAATATTAAATCATCATCATCTATTCATTATCTATTATACCAGTGTATGTTATTTCATTATTATTTTTTCACAGGTATGATTCTTTCACGATGAAAATATATTGCATCCTTTTTGTATGTCTTTCTTTTATGCAATTTGTTTAGTCATTTTGTCTGTATCATTTTTTTGGTGATGATGATGATGATGACGATAATGGCATCAATAAATTCTGTAGAAATTGTTTGAATGACCAAATATTTTCCATTGAATTTTTTTGATTGATCGATGATCATTATAATTTTGATTTTCATGTTTGATGAATGAATAATAATTTTATTCTGCGGAAATGTTTCAAATTTTCATCATCGTCATCAGTTTTTTTTGACCTTTTTCCTATTTCTGATTTTTTTCTTTCTTGCAAATTTTTTTGATCCATATTTCAGACAGAAAGAATTTTGATTTTTTGTTTGTGGGCAAAAACAGAAAAATTTATTTCACAAATAAAAGGAAAATATTTTGAAATGTCACAATTCTTACATATAAAATAAGAGAAAGAAAAAACTTTCTAAAGACATTTACGCTCTTAAGCTTATTTTTCATCACTTATCAATGTTTCGAACACGTCAATTCCGTTTTTATTACGTAATTTTTTTTTTGTTTGTTATATGTTCGCATAGTAATCATTCACGGAATTCAATCATTTGACAATGTTTATATAGAATATATTAAATATTGTGGGAAAAAAACATGAATGAAATTTTCAATTTTCGAACAACAACAACAACAACCAAAAAGAAAACCTACGCGAATGATATTTTCCAATTGTGATGAAATATGTTCCATCCAAAATATCATGAATAATTTTACTGACATAGTGATTGATATTTTCTAATTTTTTTTCCAGAATTCTCTATGAAATAAATATCGGAAAATGTATGGAAACAATAAATCTATATTAATGACTGTGTGTATATAAACACCGGCGACACACGATCATCACAATGATGATAAGAAGAATTTTCAACCAATAAATCAATCAATTCACTATTGAAGATAATCAAATAATTTCATTGTTATTGATCGGAATTTGTTAACATTTGTATTTTTTTCAATCTATTCATCGACGACAACAAAATGAATCATCTTTATTTGTTGCATTGACAAATGATAATTATCACTGTGTGTGTGTTTGAAACTTGAACATTTTCCGTGATTGACATCATCATCATCATTATTTATCTATTCATCATGGATGTTTTACCCGATATAATTACACCGGAACAAGAAAAGGTTTGAATCATTTGTTTTCTGAATTTTCATTGAAATTTTTTTTCTTCAATTTAATTCTTTCTATTTTTTTCCTATTATCTTTTCATCTATATATTTACCTCTCACTCTTTTTCTCAGTATAGTTGTTTCAACATTTTTTTAACTATTCTTACTGGTTAGTTCTTGTCTAAACCAGTTTATCTTGTATTCCTTTTTCTTTGCTATCGACAATTTCATAATCATTATTTTAATTCATGAATATGCTGATTTTCTTGTTTCTTTCTTTCTTAATTTTAGACATTGTAACCATTTACTAGTTATTATTATTACGATTATTATTATTATTATTATCGATTAATTCTAATCATCATCATCATCATCATCACATGTCTATTGAGAAAAAAAGTCTTTCATTATTATGCAACTCGATGAGAACTGTTAATAATAGTGGTATTTAAGATTTTCTACCTGTACATATTCTATGTTTCTATATATTTAAATGTGTGTGTGTGTACGAAATCGAAATGAATAAATAATGATGATGATGATATAATATGATGTCATAAAGAATGAAAGAATTTTCAAATTCGTTTGTTTTTCTTTTGATTAGTATTTTTTCACCAAAAAAATTTCGATTTTTTTAAATAACATTCATTTTTGTCTCTTTTTTTTGATTAGATATTAAATAATTTTCTACAAGTGGTCAATAGATCACGTATACAGAATAATGAACCATTAATGCGTCCACGTACAGCATGTAAATTTTTAATGGCACGTAAATTTGATCTTGATCGTTCATTAATGTTATATAAATCACATGAAACGATACGTTTTCGTGAAGGATTAGTCAAATTTGATCCATTAAAAGATCCATTAAAACGTGAATTAGAAACGGGAAAATTTACAATACTTGTAAGTAATCAAATCATAATTTGTAATTTTATTCAATGTTTAATGTTTGGTTTTCAATTTTTTTTCTGTGACAAAAATTAAATACATTATTTATTCAATTTTCAATCCGACTATCAATCATTTTTTAATATTTCTCAATCAAAAATGTTGTCCTCGTTTTTTTCAAATGTTTTATATATCATTCATTGTCATTGATTGTGATTTTTGTTTTTGTGGTGCTCGTGTTTTGTTTGTGTTTTACTGTGCGTGTTTTTTTAATGTTTGAAGCCAAAACAGGATAAGACTGGTTCAATGATTGCAATGTTTTCCGCTGGCAAACATATACCACAGGAAACGACACATCAAACAACATTACAAGGTGTTGTTTATCAATTGGATGTTGCATTAGATGATGTTCAAGCACAAAAATCCGGAATCATATTCATTTATAATATGATTGGATCAAAATTAAATAATTTTGATTATGAACTAAGTCATAAAATTTTAAACCTTTTAAAAGGTGCATATCCTGGACGATTGAAAAAAGTTTTAATATTATCAGCACCAATGTGGTTTAAAACACCATTTCGTATATTACAATTTTTTATACGAGATAAATTAAGAGATCGTGTACATATGATTAATTTAGCACAACTTTCTTCACATATTTCATCAGAATTAATACCGATTGATCTCGGTGGTACATATCAGATTAATCATCAACAATGGTTAGAACATTGTTTACAGGTACATAAAAATGATATGGGTGATTTATGTCCATCATTTCCATCGGATAAAACATTATTTCCAACACCACCATCATCAAATGTATCATCATTAAATAGTTCACCAATCGGTACAATGAAAAATCATCATACATTTTCATCAACATCATCTTCATCGTCTTCAACATCATCATCGACATCGGTCAAACATTCATTTATGAATAATTTTTTGAACAATGATAATAAATCTGTAAATATTATGAATAATAATAACAACAACAATTCGGATATGATAACAACAACAGCCAATAGTTCAACAACAACAGCCACATTTCCTCCGCCATTGATAAATGGCTGTAATAATGTCACAACAATACAGACCATGATGAATAATAATGTTGATTATGATAATGATAATGATGGTCCATCACCAATAGGTCAACCAAATGAAATTGAATCAATGTTAGAAATTTATGAAGAAATTGATGATGATATTGAAGGTGTTACATTAGAAGAATTTCTACAACATCTTAATCAGAAAAAACGTAAAGGAATGCTTGATGAATATAATGAGATAAAATTAACACCACCGACCGGTACATTCGATACGGCACGTAATAAAGCTAATCAACAGAAAAATCGTTATGTTGATGTTTTAACTTATGATCATAGTCGTGTTCGATTACCAATGATCGATAATGATCCTAATTCGGATTATATTAATGCCAATTATGTTGATGGTTATCGACAAAAAAGAGCTTTCATCTCAACACAAGGTAATAATTATTAATGATTGATTGAATAAAATTACACAACATATAAATTGATCATCATCCTCATCATTCATTTTCAAGGTCCATTGACAAAAACATTTGTCGATTTTTGGAGATGTGTATGGTATAATAAAACAATTGTGATTGTAATGACCACACGAACAATGGAAAGATGTCGTGCCAAATGTGGCCAATATTGGCCATTAGATGAGAAAGCTACATCAAAATTTGGTAATTTTCTTATCATCAATAATCATGTTGATCAGGATAAAGATTGGATGATATCGAATCTAACATTGGTCAATACGGATACAAATGAACGTCGTACTATTGTTCACATGCAATTTACTAGTTGGCCCGATTTCGGTTTGTTATATTTTTATTGAAAAAAAATTGATTTTTATATTCTTTTTTTTTTTGAACATAATGATAACAATAACCAGGTGTTCCCCAGTCAGCTATTGCAATGCTTGAATTTCGACAAAAAGTTCGAGATTATCAAAAACAATATCTAAAAACGATCGATTGGAAGGGCCATCCTTTAGGACCACCAATCGTTGTCCATTGTAGTGCGGGCATTGGTCGTACTGGTATGTATTATTCTTATTGTTATTTGTTTCCATACGATTTGATTGATTGATATGATATTGGGATGATGTTTTTTTTTGTTGTCATCACCCTTTACATTTCGATCAATCGGATTTTTTTTCATTGTTTAATGTTTTTTCTTATTTTTCCCCCAACTGAAACATTTAGGCACATTTATCACGATCGATATTAGCATACAACGATTAGATGATCGTGGCCGTATCGATATTAAAAAAACGGTGGAAAAAATTCGTCTACAACGTGCCTATAGTATTCAGATGCCCGATCAATATGTATTCTGTTGTTTAGCCGTACTCGAATATGCAATGTGGAAAGGTTTATTGGAAAATGTTAATCTAACAAAATTCGAAGAAAGTGATCAATCAGATACTGATGGTGATTGATTTGATATCGATTTATTTCATCCTTCTTTCAAAATGAATGATTCAAATTCGAATGAGAAAATCAATCATTAATCTGAAAAAATAACACATACACACACACAGAAACTAACAAATAGACCTCGATTCACAAGCTTATTGAATTACTATTCAATTTTTTTTTAAAAACAATTTATCAAAAATCCTGCTAATCAAATGACAGCAAAAAAAATGTGATTGAATCCAGAGAAACCATAGTGATCCAAACAAACATATACACATTTATTTATCCGCTATACGATTGGAAAAAATTAACAATTTTTTTTAATAATTGATCCGAAGTATGCAAGAAGCTAGCAATCAAATTTGTCATTGATATTTGCATAATTTTTTTTTGTTCAATGAATTCAAATCATTTTTAGTATATTTGATTATTTTGTAAAACTCCATACTTGCACATGCATACACAAACACACTCACCAAAAGCACATTTTTTGTTGTTGTTGTTGTTTATTGTCCTGAAGATCAAACAACCACCGCATGGCCATTTTTATTTTATCCAAATCAATTCTGTTATCTTCATTTGTTGTAATGATCATTCGAAAATCTGCAAAAATCAAATCAGTAATTGTGTGTTCGTTCGAACATCAATCAAAACGAGGAAGAAATTTTATTGTTACCAGCTAAAATCTTCGATAAATTTTTTTTCATTCGAAATTTTAACTGCAATTCATCAATTGATGGTGATTATGACCAATTTGCCAGTCAAAGATCATTTGAAGACTTTACAAAAAAGCTTTAAAAAAGCATAAAGAAATAATATTTGTTCGGAAAAAAGAATGATTCATCGCAATTAGATATTGCCATAATCATTTCAAATATAATGGCAATAATTAATGTTTTCATTTTTCAAAATTGAATTCCACTGATAATTATCGATTTTAAAAGTCAAATTGGAACGATTCTCGAAACGAGGAATCATACAAAACATGTGTGTGTGTGTCATTCATTCGAAAATTTTGTTTTGTAATTTAATCATATTTCTTCAAATTTTTTAATGGCCATTTTATATGAATTCTGTGAATTTTAATTTTTTTTTGTTATTTTCGTTTCTTTTTTTCGAAAAAATTTTTGTAATTTTTTTTTTTTTGAATTTTGACAATTACACAAGTGTATTCTTGTTCAATTTATTTAATGTTTCGAAATCAACAAAAATAGAAACGCTTTTTTTCCCTACTAAAACTCATTAAATCATTTTTTTTCCTATTTGGTTCTTCATTTTTTTGATCACACATCTTTATAATTATTATCATTTATTTATTCATGTTTTCGAAATTCAAATCTTTCATTTGAAGATGAATAAAAATAATTTAAAAAAAATCATTATTCTTATAACATCTAAAAATTATCATCGAGCACCATTCCAAAAACGGATGGCAATGTGTTTCCGATCCGGAATCGATGCATGGAGAACAGAATTTTGTTAATCAATCATACATTTTTTTCCGATGTACAAAAATAATTTTATTATCATCATTATTATTTAAACAAACATTGATAATCAGTATAATAATAAATTTTTCAGTCATGCATAAATCTTTGAGATTTTTTTTGTCATTTAAATGATAATAATAATAATAATAAATTTAAAAAAAAATTCTTACGATAGAAAAAAAATAATGTTAATTATTTTACAAAGTGAGGAAGAATGAATTAGAAAAATTGGAAAAAAATGAACAAATGACACATATATGACCGAATTATGATCATTTCAACATTGTAAATGTTTAATATAAAAAAAATTCGAATCATGCATGCCATTGATTTATTTTTGGTCCATCATGGTTGTTTTTTTCAATATTTGGCAATGACGGTTGAAAAAATGATTGGAACCCAAATTTATTTGAAACACTATTGCTGGTGGTGTAAACATGGTTGTCATTTATATTAATTATTATCAATCAATTCATCATCTAGTTTTTCATAGCTTATATAAGATTATTGCTTTTTTTCTTGTTACCAGCAATTTTTTTTTTGCATTTCAACATTATGAGCGTCTTGATGATGGGTATATTTCAACTTCCATTATAAAATGATGAAAATTTAAAAATTATGATTGATCAAATTTCTGATTGATGACCAGTAGCACTGATATGCTTCTGTAAAACGGCCGGCATCAGAAAACCTTTTCCACAAGTTGTACAAGTATGTGGAAATCTTTTTGTATGTATAGCAATGATATGATTACGTAATGATGATGATTGATTGAATTTTGCACCACATTCTTGACATTGATATGGCTTCTCTCCTGTATGTGTCAACATATGACGTTGAAGATGGGATTTCGTTTTGAAACTTTTTCCTATTATTCAATAAACAATGTTGAGTAAATAATTCATGTGACAGTAAATGACTTACCATTGCCACAATGTGAACAATGAAATTTTCGTCGAATACCATCCGAACCAAGCGTTATGCCATTGACTACAGAAATGAATGATATTCTTGGTTTTCGATTTCCTTTACCTTTGCCTTTCATTGGTTTATAATCACTGGGGCTTACAATTTTGGTGATGGTAGTGCCTAGGCTATTTGCTAATTCTGTTGGCGATAATGATTCATTTCGGCTGAAAAGACAAAAAGAAAAAATTGTTGATAAAAACTTTTTTATTTTCAACGAACAAACCTTGACACTGCCAGATTAGTATTATTATTCGATGAAGAAGATGAATGAGATTTATTAGATTTCGGCGTTTTCTTGGCAAACACCAATCCGGATGAAACTTGTTGAGTTTTAGAAGTTTTCGTCGATGGCAGCTGCGAATGTACCTTTTTATTTGGAACTGATGATGGTAATCTGGAAAGACCCGGTAAACCAGTATCAATTGGAGTACCACTATTCGTTTGAGCAGATTGTAAATATTGAGTAGCTGTTTGTCCTGAATCTCCTGTATGATGGGTAAACGGTTGTAAAGAAACTAATTGAACCATCTGACCATTAGCGGCAGTGAATGTCGCATTAGGATTAAATATTGCAGCAGCACCTTGTGCATTTGGTGAAGCTACTGCAGCTGTAGGATTATTCTGTGAATGAGGACCTGTTGTTAACAATTGACCAGTAGCAACTGTGGCAGCAGCAGCATTTGGAAATATAAAATTCGGATGAGCTATTGTAAATGACGCTGCTGGATGATTCTGATTAAGGGACGATTGTGCATTTGAATTGTGATGGATACTCTGCGTCTGGTGTTGCTGATCATTTCCGTTAGCATTCGAATTGTTGATCTGCAGTGTTGGAAGACCTTGTGTGATAGATTGATGATGCTGATGAAGATGATGAGCTTGATTTAAGAATCGTTCGGGTTGTAAGTGATGTTGATGATGATGAGATAAACTTGATAATTGTTGATGCTGATTCGAAGATGATAAATTAAAAGATTTAGATGAAATATTGAGCTGTGGTGGACGTTGTTGATCTAAATCTTCATCACTATTGAAATCATAGATATCAGCAGAAACCTGTTGCCGCTGCTGTGTTTGAGTTTGTGGCATTTGTATATCACAATTATTTTTGCCGAAATTTTCACCATCTTCTTCGTCATCTTCATCTTCCTCCTCATCTTCATCATCATCCGCATCATCAAAACCAATGAGATCAGGCTGCTGATCATCATCGTCTTCTTCATCAAGATGATCATTATCGGCATCAGCAACAATCATATGTTGCTCGTCACTAAACCCATTCGACATTAATTGATGGTTTTGTATATCGAAGTCTTGATGACCATTATTGAATTCTTGTGGCTGCTGCAGCTGAAATTGATCTTGATGAATGATGCCGTCATCATCATTTTCATCTTCATCGTCCTCATCTTCTTCATTGACCATATGATTGTCACCATTATCATCGATTCCATAAAAATTTTGATGTGAGATTCCACCATTCATATCACACACTTGTTGTTGTTGCTGAAACTGTAGGACTGGTTCTTCATCAACATCGGTTTCTTCGTCAGTTTCTTCATCATCATAATCACCATTCTCACCATCGCAATGAACATTATTGTTGTCTAAAATTACATCATTATTATCATCTACATCATCAACACTTTCGTCGATGATTGTAGCATTATCATCTTGATCTTGATCATCAGATTGAGGTTGCTGTAGATGTGAATCAAATAATTGTCTCGTATCATAATTTTCATGATTCTGACGATTGATAGATAGAGGGAAAATAGTTTTTTTCAAAATGGCTGATGAATTTTTTGCCATGGACAATGTCGGACATGGTGATTCATCTCCAGGTATTGGTGAATAAAGTTGTGATTCAAGAATGAGATCATCGTCGGTTTCAGTCGAAATCGAGCGGCTAGGATTAGAAAAAAAAATTTATTAGCAAATGCAAAATATTGGTCTCTTAAAATCAAATCATACCATTTTCCATCATTGGAAATGATTGTATTGGATATTCGATTCGTTATTGATGTTTGATCGATACCATTGATGGAAGCGCCGTTATTATTAGGAAAATGATGATATGATGAATGGTTATTATGATGGTGATGATTTGAATCACTAAAATTGGCAACATTTTGCTTGAATTGATTCGTTGATGATGATGATGATAATATTGTGGTTGCAGTTGAAGCTGTTGATGTAGTTAATGATGAAGTTGTTAAAAATTGATCATTATTCGTTGATTGACTATTCGGATCACAAACATCACACCGATGTGGAGGTGATGATGCATGTGACATAATATGCCAATTATAATGGAATCCATTATCCGATACATATGTACAATGTAAACAAGTTAATAATTTTACACCTTCAGTTTCGGCATGTTGTTGTCGATGTTTTTGATAATAATTTAAACATGTAAATATTGAATTACATGTTTGGCATGTATAAAGACCTGATGCTATAAATTTTAAAATTAAAACAAAGAATAACAACAACAAAAAATTTATCAAAAAGAAAAACTTACATTTGTTGTTGTTTGTATCGGCGGACAACATTTTTTTTGAGAGGGTTGTTTATTATTTTACTTTTCTTTTTTTATTATGATAAAAATAATTGTATTCACATGGTAATTGTTGTTGATTTTGAATCATAAAAAATAATAGTAAAAATAATCCAAATGGAAATGATGATTCAAACATTGATATTGAATATATCTTGTTGATTATTGGATTACGTTATTATTGTTCAATGAATAAAGATGTACAAAGAATTTAAACAAGACATTTATGATTGAAAATATTCAATTTAAAGGCACATGATCTTTGGTCAAGCTTTTTTGTTTTGTTTTGTTTTGTTCGTTTCTGGCCACACTATTGAAATACACTACAAATTCATATGGCTCAATTCATTATTATTTGCAATCAATATGTTGTTGTTGATTGATAATTGCAAACAAACAGGCTAACAGGTTTTTTTAGCTTTTTTTTTAAAGCTAAATCTCTTTGCTCTATCCCTTTTTTCGCAAAATATCCAATACAATAGTATACTTGATTCAAGTAAGTTAGTGATAATCAGTTATTTTGAATTAATTAATTGCTTCAAGCTTTTTTTTCGTTGTTTTTATTTTGTTGTTTGTTTTATTCTCTTTTTTTAATAGTTTTTATTTTCCTGAATTACGGATCGAATCATAAACGAACGAAATGATACATCTATCTGATTGATGTAAAATGATGATTGTGATACGATGAAACCAATGGAATTGTGAAAATTTATGGTCCAAAACTTGATGATCAAATCAAACATTAACTATCAACATCACATTAATCTTTTTTTTCATCATCAGTTTAATTGAAAACAGAGAAAAAGAAATGATGAATATTAATTTCAATGTTGTACACATTGATTCATTGGTTTTTTTTCAAATATTCATTTGAATTGTATGAAAATCTTGTTTAAGAGATAAGAATTTAATAAAACATTTGATGAAAATCAAAAAAAAAAATAATAATAATAAACAGAAATATAGAAAAGATAGCAAGACAAAAACATGGTTACAATATATAAATCCAGAGAATCGAATCTATTTCAATATGATGGATGGACAGAATGACAACAGATTTTATTCGTTTTGTTCTTTTTGCGTTTTTTTTGCTGCGAGTTTTTGTTGCTGTTGTTGTTGTTGTTATTATTTTCGTTGCATTGCAACCAGTGTGTATGACATATGCTATGCTGCTATAATTTTTTTTGTTGAAAGAAAAAAATTTTCAACTTTCATCAATGCTACTACTATTTTCAATTATAACTTTATTTTCTTTTGTTGTTGTTGTTCGATTACCTGTGTGGTAGTGGAACAGAATTATGAATTTGAATTTTTTTTTTGCGAATAAATTGTAGTAGTAGAATGGAATGTTGAATTAGAAATTGTATTCGAAAAAATCGAATTTTTACGAACAGAACCCTCCCCCCGGTTGTGTACGCGCGCGTTTTTCTATATGCTTCCAATGTCAATCGCTTATTGGTGTATATATTTTGTTAGTTTGTTATTGGTTTTTAATATTTCTTTTCATTCGTGTGATTGAATTACTCGATTATCGATTTTGCATCAATTTTGATAAGATAAAACAACAACAACAAAAAAAGGATGGAATCCAAACCAATTGTCGGTTATTGGGATATTCGTGGTTTAGCACAACCAATTCGTATGTTATTATCATATGTTGGTGTCGATTTCATCGATAAACGTTATCAATATGGACCACCACCTACATTTGATCGATCCGAATGGTTAAATGAAAAATTTCAACTTGGACTTGATTTTCCAAATCTACCATATTATATTGATGGTGATATTAAATTAACACAAACATTGGCTATTTTACGTCATCTTTCACGTCGTCATAATTTGGATGGTGAAACAGAACAAGAACGTATTCGAATTTCATTATGTGAACAACAAACAGTCGATATGGTTATTTCAATGGGACGTGTTTCATATGATCCAAATTGTGAAAAATTGAAAGTTGAATATCTTCGAGCATTGCCTGCTCAATTGGAATTAATGTCAAAATTTATTGGCGATCGTCCATTTGTTGCTGGTACTAATCTAAGCTATGTTGATTTTTGTTTGTATGAATTATTGATCAAATATAAAGTTTTAACACCGGAAATTTTGGAACCATTCGAAAATCTTCATAATTTTATCAAACGTTTTGAATCATTGCCAAAAATTGCTGCATATATTCGTGGACAAGAACCAAAACCATTGAATGGTGCACCGGCTCGTTGGAATGGTACATATCAATAATTATTATTATAATTATTGAATTTCAATTTAAAACAATTTCAATGATTTAAAATTCATCCATAGAAAAAAAAGTGAATAATTCATATGAGTATAATTTTAGTTGTGAGAAAAAAAAACCTATTTTTTTCATTATCAATTTATCTTTTCAGTTAATAATTAAATCCTATCATACCGTTATTATTATTGAAATTTTTCACCATAAAAAAAATACCAAAAGGATTAAAAATATTCCATAGGCGCCATCCATTGAATTTGTATTCGAAAAAAAATGATTGATGTTGACTCATCACCATTGCATCATCATCAAGTCTGTTGTTTTGATATGGCAACAAGCAAATGATGTAATCCCACATTTTTCAAACAAAACCATGACTTTTTTAAGAGAAAATAATGATAAAAATTATCGATAACGCCCAAAAAATTTTTATATTTTCCACAACAAAAAAAAATGGTTTTTTGGAGAGAAATAAATGCCACGCACAAACTTGAAAAACACTCAACAATTGATTATTATTATTGTAACACATAGTTCTCCTTTTGATTAATTAAATTGTTTTTTTTTGTTTCAAATTTTGTCGAATCATTCCATACTTGTTTTATTTATATTTTTGGCTCCTCAAAGTTTCAATTTCATTGTTTGTAAGTTTTTCCCGTTTATAACTTAACATCATCGAGAGAAAAAAAACAAACCTTTATAAAATGTCTTGGAACATGAATAATAATCGTCAAAATTATCCATATCAAAATTATCAACAATATTCACAACAACCGCAACAACAACAACAACAATTTCATCATCATAATCTACCACAATATCCATCATATCCAACGAATCAACCATACGTAAGTTTATGTGTGGGAATGAAAGATTTATTTGGTTTTTTTTTGTTGTTGCGAGAATATCTTTATTCAAAATTGTATTGTAGTAATCCTGATTCTCTATAAATAGAATTCTTTCTTTTGGTTTTGAAAATTGTGTCAACATTTCATTTCATTTCATTTTTTTCCGAAAGAATAAATCTATTGTTGTTGACTTGATGACCTGATAAATGTTGATTTTCCAAGTTGATTTGTATTTAATTTTTTTGAAAGATTCGAAAAACAAATTCGGTAACGTTGTTTATTAACGGCAAAAGAAAAGAGAAAATATTGTTGATGTTCGAGTTGAGAATTTAATTGTGTTTCAAATTGGCCTTGGCGATAATCACATTTTGTCTGTGTGTATGAATAGTATAAGATTAGTTGTGTTTGAATCATCAATTATTTGGTTGTTGTAATTTAATTTCATTACAACAAGCGATCGATCGATCAAATCAATCAGTCGTACGAACTAACGAAACGCATCATCATTAGTGAATTTATTTTTCTACCTTAAATATTAATTTTTGATCCCTTTTTTTCTAATTTTGTGGGAAACAATTAAACATTCGAAATTTAAAATGTCAAAATCCGATGCCCATCAGATGCCTAATCCACAATGGTTACGTTCTGTATTCGATAAAGTTGATAAAGATAAAAGTGGTCAGATTTCATCGAATGAATTACAAGGTGCATTAAGCAATGGTACATGGAAACCATTCAATCCAGAAACTGTAAATACATTTTAGATGATTAAATTTTCCAATTCTGATGTGATGATCTTCGAAATAGGTTCGATTAATGATTGGAATGTTTGATAAGGATAAAACTGGTTCGATTAATTTTGAAGAATTTTCACATCTATGGCGTTATGTAACCGATTGGCTTAATTGTTTTCGATCATTTGATCGTGATAATTCGGGTAATATTGATCCAAACGAATTGCGACAAGCATTGACAACATTTGGCTATCGTTTTACTGATAGTTTTCTACAAATTCTAATGAAACGTTATGATCGTGAAGGTAAAGGTAAGCATACATATCGATAAAAAAATTGATCATTAAATCAAATTATTGATTGATAAATTTGTTAAAAAAACGCTTTCTCTTTTTTTTTCTTTTTCGTTCATCTCCTTTTCCCAATTGTTGTTTGTTTTGTTATGGAATTTTTCGCATCGAATCAACTATATAATAATGAATAGTGGCCCAATAATAACTAAACTTTCTGTATTTGTGAAACCAAAATAATCCTGAGAATAAGAGGAATGAAGAAAATCAGCAACAGACCCAACCAGTTGTTAACAGCATTCTTTTCTATTCTAAATAACCTATCAGCATCCCTATTTAATGTTTTCTATAGAAATTTTTCAATTTCCAATTAACCTTTTTGACGTTATGCTTTGCATGTTATTTTCGCTGATGATTTTTTTTTAATTTTGATTTCTTATGCAATTTTTTTTGTTTGTTTTGTTCCAACAGGTCACGTTACATTCGATGATTTTATTCAACTTTGTGTTCAATTACAAAGTTTGACTAATGCATTTCGTCAACACGATACTGATATGGATGGTTGGATTAAAATTTCCTATGAACAATTTCTTACAATGGTACTCAATATTGCTCTATAAATTAGTTCAATGCATCAAAGAAAATAATTGGCTATCATCTCATCATTGTCTGATGATGATGATGATGATGATTTTCCTCTATAATTAACCCCCGGTAATCATACTTCCAATCCGTATTTTTTTTTGTCTGAGAAAAACCTGCCTTCAATTTGTTTTTTGTTTTTTTTTCGTTTATTCATAAATTTTAATCATCAAAAATGAAAATTATATAATAAAAAAAAGCTGGAATTAAAATTTGAAATACTGAATAATTATGAGAAATAAAAAGCCAAATTTTGTTTCATTTGGTAATGAAAATGTCATCATTATGCTGTTTGTTTTTCAATCAATTTCATTATCAACATTATCATTTGAAGGTATCCTTGCAGATAAACCATTCATTGATTCAACATTAGTGAATGATAATGGCATTTTTCGAACTAAATTTGATGATGATAAATGAATGTGATTAAGTATTGATTCATTGGTTTGTTTCGAATTGAATGATGTACTAAAACTTGATGTGCAATCAACTAATGAAAAATCGGAATCACCCAAAAATGATTGTTGTGTTGTTGAAAGTTCACTTATCGGTGTTGATTGCATTAATGGTTGTTCGTGAATAATTTTTAAATTTTCCAACATGATTTCATTCGATTGAATATGCATAGAATCAAAATCTAAATCAATACGATTGTTTGAGATCAAATTATTTTTATCACTTTTTTCTTTGATGATTTTGTTACCATCGATTGCAGTATTATCATTAAGAATATTGCGTTTAAACAAAGGATAGCCAATGATAGTGAGATAGAATGAGAATGAAAAAATGATCAATATAATAAATGATTCGTAATATAGAGGTGTGATGAATGAATCATCAAATAGTATGAAAAGAACTGAAATTGAAAAAAAATCAATAATTAATTTCACTTTTTGATAAGAGAAGAAAATTACCTATCGATTCGAATATCATGAAATAGATGCTATGTGCAAAAAAGTACAAAGATTTACTGTAATACCAGATAATCAATACGATTAGGAAGACAAATATCTGAAACATTGTATAAAAGTTGTAAATCGGTTGTTTCGAAATTTCGAAATGAATCGAATCAATAAGTCGATTAAATGATTGATAATAATCATTATTCAATGTAAAATTCGAATTATTTTGTATTGAAAGTAATAAATGAGGTAGTAAGTCTATGGCCATGGATGATGATGATTCAGTATCAATAGTAGCTATCAATATTAATCGATCATCATACCAATATTGACAAGTATCATTATATGTTGATGATAATTGATAAATGAATTTTCGAAAAAATGACCAGGATAAATTTGTCATCACATTATTGTTATTGTTATTATCGTATGATTGGATTTGATCGACAAAATCGATTGAATTTGGTTGTTTCCAAAGAATAGAATTATTCATAATAAATATGGAAAAAATCACAGTCGGAATATAAAACAATTTCATCATGTTGAATCAATGTTTCCTGATTTATCAGGATGTATTTTTGGACACATCGAAAACGAGTAACGTTTCAACTTATGCAATGATGAAATATAATAGAAAATGAGTAATACGTCTTGGATGTGTTCCAGGAAAAAAGAAATACAGCAATAAAGCGAATAAAGTTTTTAGCGGGATGTAAAGTGAAAATGATTGTATTCGATCACTCCATCTGTTATTTGAAATACGAACCATCACTTTTTTTTTTTTGGATCTTCTCATTCTACCCACATAGCTACGAATGAGTAGAATGAGACGAATCAAAGTTTATTCGAGGTAAAAAGAAAAACCACGTGCATTATCGACAACAACGTTGGTTGGCTTTAGCATTTCCTTTTCAACTTCTGTACTTGTCTTGAGCTCGTCGAGGTTGGTTATTTTTTAATTTTTTTTAAGAAAATTAATTTTCCCTGAAAACTTTTATCCATGATGAACCAATCTATTGATAGGAATTGCCGTCTGAATTCTTATTGACGACAATTTAGATACTGAAATTTTACAAATTATTTCATTTAAATGTTTTTTCTCTTATCCAAACTAATTTACTAATGAGCATTTTGTTTTGTTTGTTCTTCCATTTGCAGTAACCAATTCATTTACATTATGGATTCTCTAAAAGTATGTATCAAATCATTTGTAGCTTTTTTATTATGAATTATTTTAAATGATGGAATCATGTTCTAAACCTGAACGAATGTTATATTCTTACAATGTCGATAACCCCAGCTCTCTGATTATTTTGTTATTTGAATATATCATTTTTTTAAAAATTAAATTATTACTAATTATGATTCTATTGAAATTTATCTTCTGTGAATTCAGATTTATCCTGATCGTTAATTCAGGCATGGATGAGATTTTTGTACAATCAGCCACCGGTCATCCAATTAGTATAAAATGGTTAGTTATTCATATGTTCAATCAATTTATTTCATTTTGCATCGAAAACCTTTTCCCATATCGATTTATCATGATTGATCATGTTGTTATGGGCAGATTTGAATGCAAAAATTAATCTGAATTAGTCGCCTTTATTTCATCGATAATTATTATGAACATGTGATATAGAGTGAACTCTAATTTGGACATTTGTTTTTTTTTCTCTCAAATTTTTAGATTACAGATTTCAAAATTATACAAAATGGATATTTGGACAGTCATTTTTGTAAACACAATTCCCGACAATAACCGGAAAATTTTTTACAATTAAATGCAAAACAACAATGTTTAATACAATTAATTTGGCGAGTTTGATTTACATTACGTATATCCCATGGTATAAGATAATGTTCATAGCATGGAAAATGATTACATTCGATTGGATGATCATGATGTAGTGCTGCTGGTCCAAAACGGCTCCAATCACGAATTTTACATTTTTTACGACATTGTGCAAATACTGGCCAATTACGACAATCAAATGCCCAACAACAATGTGCAACACATTGACAACGATCACCAGCATTCACACAATCTTTACCAATGTCGAAACGTTCATGTTCACATGGAATTGTACAATTATTATGTGTTGGATTGATTATCGATGATGTTGAATAATAAAATTCATCGTTTGATTGTTGATCATTATCTTGTTCGGAAAATATTAAACCATACCAAATTATATTTTGTAAAATTAAAATTTTTATCTTTTTGTTCAACATTACAATGATTTTTATGATATATTTTCGTAAATCAAAAATATCAAACAAACATCAATCAACAATAAATATTATATTTTCAAGAAAAAAAATGATCATTACTGAATGATTCTTTTTATATATTTTGATTACAAACATTTTTTTTCTAATTAAAAAAATAGTTTGTTCTGTTTCTGTATTCTGAATATATATGTTGAAACAAAGTAAGCAAACCTTGATCTTGACAATGAAAATGTTTTAATTATTTTTTCATGATTTGTTTTTTTTTTCTTGGATTTTGATTGCGATTTTAAATCGAAATCAATTACTACTATACGAAAACGAAAACGTCCTTCAGTACCGTTTTTCAGGTCTGATATAGATAATCATCATCGTCGTTTTATTCATAATCAAATATATATTTCTAACAGAAAAAAAAATGAAAGATATGAACAATTTCAATTTTGAACAAGCAAAATGATTGATTTGATCTTCAGTTCTTCAAACACAGGCACTCATTTTATTCATTATCATTATTTGAAATATGAAAATGAAGAACGTTTTTTTTGTTGTTGATTTATTTATTGGTTTTTTTTTCATTTTCATCAATATTTAAAGAAATTTTCAAATTTTTTTAAAAAATTGATAATTTATTACCTTCATCTTTTCATTTCATTAAAACTATATTTACAAAATTTGAAAACAAAAAAAAACTGATTGGCAAAGAAAACACAAACACAATAAATAACAGTTTGAGTGTTTTAGAAAATTTTTTTGGATGTTAACCATTCAACATCCAAAGGCCAGTATTTGGATTTTCACGCCAATAATTATAATCGAGGTCAGGAATTTCATTACATCGTAAACGTGGATTGCTAAATTGTGAACGATGAAAGAAATAATAATAATAATAAAATTAGAATCTGAAAAAAATGATTTCTGTAATTTTATATTTTCTTACAATATTTCATGTGGTCGTCGTAATGCCCATCGTTGAATTGTTGTTATATTATCACCATTAGCACAAATAATACGTGCTTGGCTTGATTTTTTTATCTGTGCTAATTGACCAGGTGTAAATGATGATGGCATACCTGGATTTTCATACCAAAATCTATCACCTTTACGAATATTAGCAAAATTTCTAGCAATAATACAGCCAAATGTTGGACCAACTAATGCATCAGGCATTGGAAATTCTGAAACACCACCACTCCATAAATCAATATCATCGGGATGTGCATAAAGTTCACTATACATTTGTGCCGTACGATTACCGACCATTGGTATAAGATCTTCAAATGATTCGGCACGTTGAAGTCCACACCATTCACGATAGAAATTATAACCGGGTACACCTTGTTCACGTGCACGTAATAAATTTAACATCGGTAAATCCATACCAGCGAAATCATCCTCTTCTTGAAATAGATGACCAGATACTTCTTTTGTAATAAATGAATCATAACTTTGTGCCGGTGTATCAACTAAACCCATGGTTAATTCATCAATCATACCCGGTCGATAAACAATATATGGTCGTCGTAATAAATTTCTTAAGCTATGTTGTGCAATCATTTTATGATTATTATCAAAACGCATTACTTTACCCTGTATAAATGTATGACCAAAACGAAAAGCTGATGTAGTGAATGCTTGTGATGGTGATGTATGTGCATGTGGATCATAACCATTCCAATAGCCACCCTCTTCTACTAATTTTAGATTATGTTGTTCCATCATATTATCACCGATAACAATCGGTAGCCATTCATTGAATGCAATATGTTGTACAGTTGCAGCCATTATATGACGTGCTTCCTGATAGATACGTTCATCATCCCAATGTGGATTAATACGACCCAATTCGATTGCCATACGATTATGATCACGAACATACAATGTATGTAATACAGTCAAATGTATCTGTTCATTAACACGAATATCACCGGCAATAAAACAGAATAGATTTCTTGGACGATTTATACATTCAAGATCGGGATTTTTATCTTCGGCCGGTAATAAAGGTTTCATACCTTCCTTATCGAATATATTCCATGTACGCATAAGACCACCACGAAATGTTCGTAATCGTTCGGCAGCAGCACGTGTTGATCCATATACAAAATTTGCATCAATCGGTGATGTTAGAATATTCACATGTACACGTGGTCCTAATGCACAATTCGGGCGATGGCCAGCAATGGATCGTTTGAAATCATGACATTTTCTTCCCATTGGTCCATAAACAGGATCATTTGGTGGTATCTGTACTGGTTCACATAATTCATGTGCTGGTTGTCCAGGTGGTAACCTACAACAATCAACTTCAACTTCATGGCCATCGATGAAAACTAATCAAGAAACAAAAAACAAAACAAAAGAAGACCTTTAGATCTAGAAAAAAAATTATAAACACCAAAGAACACATACATCTTGGTGGCATAGCTAATGCAAGATCATGATCAAGAAATTGTCCCCAAGACATAACTAAAATGGTCATATCTGTTGATGGACGATCAAAATCTGCATGTACCATACGAGTGACTAATCTTGGATGAGGTAATTTACGTCCTTTTATTACGGATTTACGATAACCATCGATGCCTTTAAGATGGAGGAAAAAAATCGAACAAACGAAAAAGATCAGATATTTGTTAAAGAAAAAAAAAACATTTTAATTATTGCATTGAAAATCATCATAATCATTTTTTATACCATTTGAATAAACAGGTGGAAGATAACGTACAAATGCCGTATTAGCTGCACCCCATGATGGATTTTCAATATTATTACAATGACCAGTATATGTACGGAAACGTTCCATACGACATTTTATTGGTTTAACATGCCCCGGACAATGTGGCCAAAATATTGTACGTGACATATCGATCAATGGTAATGCATTTAATATTTCATCATATGATAGTTCGAATCTGTAAAAAAAATAACACACATCATACGAGAAAAAAAAACAATGATAATAATCATCATTTCAACAAAAAAAAAATCTTTAGTAAACAAAATTTATCCCACCTATGTGACAATATTTTGGTCGCTTCCTGTATAACTTCAGCTGTTTCAGCAATCTGTTCGGGTGGTGGTTCCAAATTATCAATATCATTTGGACGTATATATCGTCGTATTCTCATTGCTTTTTCCACAGCAACATTAACATCATCATAAGTGATACATAATTGATTTTGTGACTCTTCATCATTAAACTCTCTAATTGATTTTAAAATAAATTAGCAAATTATTTTTCACACACATGCAAGCACTTGTTATTAAATAATGTAAATAGTGTTAATATTCTCATCATCATAATGATTTTAACTAAAATAGATTCAAATTATTATTGTTTGAAATAAGTAACTTACTGGGAACTTCCACGTAATGCTTCCATCATTGCTTTATATGATAAACCACCATATGATGATGGTGATGTTTTATCATTTGTATCAAATCGTTTCAATATAACAGCACATTCATTCGAATTGGCTAAATAATTATCATTATTATTATTATTATTAATGTTATTATTATCAACATTATCATTCATTAAATAATCATGATTTGATTTTGTTTTTTCATGTTGTTGTTGACCGTTTGTTATCGTTTGTTGATTATTATTTTCATTTTCATTTTCATATGATTGTCGTCGTTGTGTTAATCGAGCAAATGGTGATTTTGTTGATGTTTGTGACCATCGTTTCAGTGTCATCATTTTATTATTATCATTATTATTATTTAGATATTTTTCAAATGGATTTAAACGTTTTGTTGAAAATTTATCATTAAATGAATTTTGTTGTTGTTGCTGTTGTTGAATAGGAAGCCATCTTTGTTGTTGTTGTTGTTTTTGATTAAAATTCTGATTATCATTATCTATTTGATTCGAATTATAATCATTTTGTTGATTATTTTGATATGATCGATCTAAATTATTTGAATTTGATTGAATTTGATCATAATTTCTATTAATTAGATTTGAATTTGGCATTAAATTCTGTTGTTGTTGTTGTTGTTTTGAATAATAATTCATTTGATTAAAATTATTATATGGTATTGATGATATACGTCTTTGATTATACGTGGTTGTTGTTGTTGTTATTGGTAATGTTGTTTGACTATTAATACCTTGATTGAACATTATAAGTAATAATAGAATGATCATTGTGGATATTATTCTCATAATTGTCGATAATGATGTTAATGATGATAACGATAATAATGTTGATAATGATCGTATCCTTTTACGGATATCGAATCGATATGAAAAATGCCTATAATTGAAAACAAAATAAAGTTAAAACATCCGTTTTTTTCCAAAAAAGATTTGAAGAAGAAAAAGAAGAAAAAAATCCTCATCGATAATTATCAAACAGAAAAAAAACATTACTTTCATTTCAAATTGGACACAGATTAAATCAAATCAAATCAAATCGAAACGAAACGAAAGGAAAAACAAGTCAATGTTGAATATTAATTTTTTTCATTCGTTTTTCTCAAATAAAACGACAACTACCAAAGAGTAATTACCATCATTCATTTCCAATTGAACTAATTTTTTGTTGTTGTTTCTATAGGATCCTATATGAATACTTCCTTGATTTACGTATTTTTGAACCGTTCGTTTTACAATCCCAAAGAAAACTATTAATATTAAGAAGAAAAATTTATCGTGTTTCAAAAATTGTTGTTGTTGTTGTTGTTATCGTGGTAATTGGATTGATCACACATTGTATGATTCAATCAGAAAAAGTTAAATAAAAATGTGACATGGTTAATTGGAAAATTATTACAGATCAATAAATTCACCTGAGGTTATCCAAAAAAAAAAAAAAAAAAATCTACAAAAACAACAACAACAACACTGATTGACCAACAACAACGATATCTACAGATCAACAACAACAACAACTTTGTTGTTTTGTTCCACAAGTGCAAGTTCAGGTGTTAAACATAATTGTCCAGACAGTATCTTATTAAAAGGTCGATACATTTTTTTTGTTGTTCATCGTAAATTTATTGATTATTTCATATTCGATTTTTGATTTGTTTGTTTACGATTGTTCAATTTTAAATTATTGTTTTTTTTTGTTGTTGAAAAAAAATTCAAAAAAAAAATCAATTTTGATGCGAGAGAAAATCAAGAAAAAAAAAGGTCAAACCTTTATTGGAAATCATCATCATCATAATCATCGTGGTGATGATGACAAATCAAAATCAAATTGAAAATTTTGATTTTCTTCAAAAAAATAAAATCTTCCACACATCTTTCCAAAAAAATCTTTGTTCGGATTTCAAAATCGAAAATTGTCGAAATATTATAAAGTGTAGAAATTTTAATGGTAAAACGGGAAGATCAATATGAAAAATCGAATTATAAATATTACGAAATTTTATTTATTTATGTGATGTGATGATGTCTATTTAAAGATTGTAAATTTGATTGAACAAGATACAATAATGGGAATGATCAAAAAAAAAAATGAAAAATGAAATGAAATTGGAAAAATTTTTTCCTCTAAATTTTTTATGGATAGCCAAAATCGAGACCACAAGATCGACCTAAATCTTTTAGCAGCAGCAGAAGAAAAAAAAACATAGATAAACGCGTTGTCATCTACAGCGATCACCCTTTTTAACTTTTTGACAGCAAATTTGAAATGGCAAATTATTATTGAACAACACGAAACAAACAACAACAACAAAAATTGACCATATTGATGTTTATTTTTTCATTTTTTCTCGAAAAAACAGAATGATTCAAAACGACAAACAAGGATTCTATACATTTTTTTACAAAATGATCGGTCAATTTTTTGCTCTTTCTTTCTGAATGTAAAGATTTCGACAACAACAAAAAAAAAAGATAAACGATGAAACCATTCACAAAAACACATACACAAATACAGAAATTTTTGATTATTTAATAATGATGATTATGATGATGACCATGATTGAAAACAAACAAAAGAATGATGATCATTATGATGACAATAAAACTATTCACACAAATCACATAATACTTACATGTTTGTTGAGGTCGAGGTTATAAGGATATCATTTGGAATCTAGTTTTTTTGCATTTAAAATTCACAATAATATTATAAAATGATAATAACGATGTTTATTCTTTCGATGAAATAAGAGAATTCAAATTACTTTGTTCAATTTGTTGTTTGTTCAACTTTTGTTGCTTGTTTTTTGATCAAAAATTTCAACGGAAAAAAAAAATGATATTTTTTGAGAATAAAGAACAGAACCTTTTTCCGAATTGATAATATTCTGTAAAAGAATTGAATTACAAAATCAATTTTTCATTTGGCACACACACGATGTACACTGCTAACCACACACACACACACAACCATACGAAACGTGATCAATAATTTTTGTTTGAATGAAATGTTTTCCTGTTTGATAAATCCGTAATTGAATAAAAGATACGTTGTTTGGAAATTTTTTTTAAATTATTTGAATTGATGATGATGATGGTTATGTATCGATCATGTTAATTATTGATGAGGATGATGATGATGATGATGGCGTGAAATGAAATGAAACAAACAAATTTTTTTTAATGATTGAAAAAACAATGAAAATGAAATGATGATCGGCTGTGCGGTCGAATGATTTTCGACAGTTTTTTTTGGAAAATATTTTTAATTTTCAAAATGGTAAAAAAAGAAAAGAAAACCGCCGATGATGATGATAATTTCTAATGAAATGAACAACAACAAAAAAAATCGAACGTTTTTCGTTACATAATTGAACAAGAAAAACGATTGACAAGAAGAAGAAAAAAAATTTAAAAATTCGGCGCTAAAAAAATTTTTGACTTTTTTACGTCTTCGTAATGGGAGAGAAGACTGGGATGGATAATCTTTTGATTTCTCTACTAACATCAATCCATCCATCCTTCCATCGATCATCATGAGAAAAAGAAGAGAATGCCTAACTCTTTATGGCTTTTTGTTTCTGGAACTCTTTTTTTACTCTGGTTTATTTTTTTTCTTCTTCAGCCCTTATGTTTGTTTGTTTGTTTGTTTGTGTGAATGTGTGTCTGTCAACAAGTGTCTATCATCAGAATCAATTTAAATGGATTTTTTTTTTGTGTGTTTTGAACAACAAAAAAAAAAAGAAGAAAAAAAAACATTTTCAAGTCGATCCTGGATCATCATCATCATCATCATCATGATCATCATCGACAATTGATGTCAAACCCGATTGACATCATCATCATCATCATCATAAATCCATGGTTCATGCTTGTTACATATTTTCGTTTTTGAATATTTCATCAAAAAATTTTTTTTTCTGATAGAAAAAATAGTTGATGAATTTGAAACAACAAACTGTTTGCCAATGTGTGGTCAATGGTCGACAATTGATTTTCATTATTTTCGTGATTGAATCCCCAAAAAAAATGAGAAAAAATTGATCATCATTATCATCACCATTCTCCGCGAAAAAAAAAATCATGATGAAAAAACAAAATTTTTTCATCTCATTTTTTTCCCATCATCATCATCATCCAATCATTATTATTGTCCACGATGATGATGATGATGTTTCGATTGTAATATGCAAACAAAACAAAACAAAACTAAACAAGCACACAAATATTAGTTTTTTTCTTTTTGGATAAGATTGAGAAACGATTCACAATAAAGATATTTTACTATTATTGGGTGTATAGATAAATATTTATTTAAATATTAAAAAAAACAAAGAAAAATTTTTTTTTTCTGTAAAAAAGTAAAGAAAAAATTCAATTATGAAATTCATCATCAATTTTTCTTTTTCTTTTTTGTTTTGCAAGAATGATGTAATTAAATTGTTGTTGTTTTTTCTTCGTAGTTTTAAGTTTCATTTTTGTTCAATAAAATTAATTTAGATGGATTCGTTATGAATTGTTGTTGTGTCGTTGTGTGTGTGTGATTAGCTTTCATCATCGTCATTATCGATTAATAATTTCTTTTTTTCTACCTGTTACCAGGTGTGTGTGTGTGTTTTCGTGTTTATAAATATTAAAAAAACAGTAATTAAAATCAAAATAAACAATTGAGGAGAAAAACCAAAACAAACAAAACAAAACAAAATTTGTCAAATTAAAACTTAGATATTCGTTAATCTTTTTGATTATCATATTTATATGGTGTTGAATTTAAAAGGAAACAGATTTTATCCGTATATTCTTCAATCTGTAAAATATTTTTTTAAAAAGAGATATTATTTTCAATGTAATCAAGAAGGGAAAAATCATTAACACACATACCCATTTGGATACAGGTTTTCCTGCACCATGTCCAGAATTAGAATCGATTCGAATCATTAATGGTGTATTGGGTAATTTTTTACCTAAACGATATTGTAATTCAGCAATAAATTTATATGAATGTGCCGGTACAACACGATCATCGTGATCGGCTGTAACGACCAACATATTTGGATATTGTTTAAGATTATGAGGTACATTATGTAATGGAGAATATTTTTGTACATATTTAAAATGTGTTCTATTATGTATTACATCACCATATTCTTCTTTCCATGCATAACCAATTGTAAATAATGGAAATTTAAGCATATCCAATACACTATATATAATTTAAATTGATTTCATTAGGTCATCGATATTAATTATTAATGAACACGAATACATACCCAACTTCGGCAATTGTCGAACCAAAAATATCTGGACGTTGATTGGCTGAAGTAGCGGCTAATAAACCACCATTTGATCGTCCATTTATGGTCAAATATTCTCTTGATGTGAAATTATTTTCAATTAACCAATCACCGGCAGCAGCAAAATCATCGAAAACATTTTGTTTATTCAAAAGCATTCCTTGTTTATGCCAATCATCACCATATTCACCACCACCACGTATATTGGCCGATGCATAAATACCATTCAAATATTTAACAAAAAACATGGCCATTGGATTATATGAAGGTTGAACATTAATATTAAAACCACCATAAGCATAAAGCCATGTTGGATTTTGGCCATCAAGAGTAATATTCTAAAGAAAATAAAACAATGAATTTTTAATCAATCATTATTATTATTTATTATATGAATGAATGACACACTTTTCGCGAAACAATAAACATCGGAACTTGAGTTCCGTCTTTACTTTTGTAGAAAATTTGTGTATTATTATAATCAGATTCATTAAAACCATCAATTATTGATTTTTTATACACCTAAAACAGAAACATAGGGAAAAGATCACGAAATCGTAAGAAAAAAAAAATGCTAATCATCATTAGTATCATCAAAAAAAAAACAAACCACTGTTTTATTAGTTGATAGATCATGATAGTAAATGACACCGGGTGATAAGAATTTTGAATGAAGGAAAAAAAATTCTGGACTTTTCATTTTACTAACGGCAGCTACAATCGAACCAATTTCAATAGGAATATCGTAAAGATATTCTCCATCTAATAATCGATGTACTTTTAATTTGTCCTGTACATCAATCATATAGGTAGCAACAATTTTATCATAATCAGCTATGTAAGCATTCGAGAGGATTGCCTTTGTTGATTCAGCTATTATATCACGCCAATTATCCTTTAATAATAATTAATATTATTAACGATATAATTCAAGCCATTAATGTCAAAATTTACCCGTGATGGATTGTTTAAATCTACGCATACCAGACGAAAATTTTTTGCCTTATAATTTGTACGTACATATGTACAATTTTCATCATCACCAACATAATGATATTCCGAATCAATTTGTTGTTTGGAAACAATCCATTTAAATAAAATTGATGATTGACTTATATTCATTGGATCAAAATGTGCATATAACCATGGTGTATTTGATGTTCCTTCGGTGGGAAATAAATGTATTTTATGGCCATCTTCGCTTACCAAGATCGATCCTCTATATTGATTATATATAATGTGTGAATTGTTTAAAAAACAAACAAACAAACAAAAAACAATTCATCTAACTTACACTAACCACTTGGGATGTTCAGGAAATCCAAGTATTTTAATATCATTTTTTTGTTCAGTATTCAAACGATGATAATAAAGTTTCTGAAATTCTGGTATAACTGTTTCGGTTCCTTCACCATCACCTTTATATTCATCATAATACTATAAAATACAGAATATTGATAGATTTCATTATTTTTTTTACAAAAAAAAAACTTACAGCATAAAAAAATCCATCATTATTGTTTGTCCATGCAACATTGGAAAATTTTATTTTAGTTAGAACATCGGGTAAATCTTCTAATGTTTCAACATTTTTTATATGAATTATAGTCCAATCGGAACCACCTTTCGATGTACCATATGCACAATATTTTCCATCATTTGAAAATGATAAAAATTTCAATGCAATTGTACCATCTTGTGATAGTTTGTTTGGATCTAAAAATTCAATAGGTTCATCATCCAATGAATTAAGGCTATAAATGATTGCCTGATTTTGTTCCGGTTTACGTATAGAAACAAAATATTTATCACCATATTTTGTTGGTATACCATAGGTTGTAGTATTATATAATTGTTTAAATCTAATAAAACAAAACAAAATTAAAATTAAACGATCATCATCATTTATGTATTATACATACTTTTCTTTGATTGAATCATAATTTTCATTTGAATGAATATATTCCGATGTTATTTTATTTTGTTCATGAACAAATTTAGCTGTTTCCTTACTTTTTGAATTTTCTAACCAATAATATGGATCCTGTGTCTAAATTATGAATAAATATTATATTAAAATAATCAATCATATGACATATGATCATCATCATCATCATTATTAATATTATTTACCCAAATGCCGAATCTTTCATAGAAAATATTTTCACGTTTTAAATCCGGATATGATTTCCATGTATGTTGTTGTTGTTTTGAACGATGTTCAGTGATGGTTGCTTTAGCAGTTATTAATGTTGTTGTTGTTGTTGACAATAAGAATGAAAATGTGATAATCAAATTCAATATCATGATAAATGTATTCATTTTTTTGTTTGTTTATTTATTTGTGTTTGCTGATGCGAATTTCAATTAAATCTTATGATGTTGTTGTTGTTGATGATTATGATTGACAAGTTTTTCTTTTTTAAAAAAATCAAACATACATGACTTTCATTAGATGAACCGTATTGATATTCCGTAAGTGAAAAAGTTAATTATTCAACAACAGCGTATATAAATGATGCATGATGTGGGCATTTCATGAAAGAAAATGAAAATGAAAATTTGAATGGATTGATAGGATGGGATTTATAAAAATTTGAAATATTTTTTCTGTAAAAAAATCATGATTGTCATTTTTTTCCGTTCAATTGTCATCAGCATGAAATTTTAGTTTTATTTTTTTTTCTGTGATGATGATATAAATGTATGATGATAATCTACCGGACGACGATGCTTCTACTTGCTAACAAACACTTGCAATATAGGCTACTGATGTTAATGATGATGCTGCTAACAATAATAATAATGGATCATATAAAATTTTTATTATTTCAAAAGGTTTATTGTTATACCATTCATTGATATGAGATGGATTATGATGACCATAATAATGACATTTATCATGTAATACCAAAGACATCACCTTATCATCATCATCATGTCATCAATGATAAACACATCAAACGACTTTGGAAATTTGAAGCAAATATGAAAGCGATGAAATATTAGACACCAAATAAAAGGGGTGGAAAAAAATGAGGGAGAAAAATTCTTATTTATTTTATTGCAGATGGATCAACAGAAAAAAAAATACTCAAAAATGATGATGATGATTGACGTTTCCTTTTTTTCATATTTTCATCTATCATTATCAGATGATAATTGTCTAGGTGAAAATAATGGATGAAGAACTCAGACTTTATTTCCTTTTTTTTATTTATACAAACAACAATATCATTGGAAACAAACAGAAAAAACCGTTTAAATAAATGTCAAAAAATCGAATGTAACAGCAGAAAGGAAGTGTTTATACAACTCAAACATCTGATTCAATATTTCAAGGAAATATTTTTTTTATTTGTTTCAAAAGGATTCTCATATTTTTTCGGAAAATTTCTCTAAGAATTTTTATTGATTCTTTTCAAAAAAATGATGTGATACATTTACAAATGAAATATAAAATTATTTTTAAAATCAAGAATTTAACATCGGTGACAATGGTCGAATGTTTGCATTTCTTAATCGAATATTTGAATCACGATTTTCATATGCATAGAATCCATTAAAATCGATCAATATACTGATGATTGTATCGGCATGACCACTGAAAACAAAAAAAAATGATTGAAATTTCAATAATTTGATCAAATGAAAATACATACCTGGCAACAAGATCATCAAAATATATTCGTCTTGATTGTTGTGGTCTAATCATATCATAGATTTCATTACTAAAATCATCAAAATTAATCGGTTCCTGTCCTTGACGACGCATCTGATTTTCGATTGCTTTGAAAAAATATCGTAAAACAAAATCATCCAAATAATGGCAACGATTAATGTCTAATATGTTGAAGAAAAAATAAACCGATTGAATTTCTTTACGATTTTCCAATGCCAAAATGATATCAATAAATGTTTTAAAATCCTATTGATTATTCAACGAAATATTCAATAAAAACCGAATCGTAAAGACATCAATTCAATACATACAATTTCTTTGTTATAAGTCATACAAACATCGAACAATTGTTCGACAAATAATTCATTAAAATTACCAAATTTTAAAAATTCCAATTTCGATATCATACCATTATGATCATCATCAAGGCTAATAATCGATAAAGAAACGAAAATAAAAGATTAAATTAAATAAAATCTAGTTCAACCGTGGGATTTCCTTCACATCAAATCGATTATCAATCAGTTTTTTTCCATTAGAAAAAAAAACAAAATCAGATCAAAAAAACCTACTCCAGATACATGTTATACAATCGTATAGTGTTAGCAGCTGAAAACCATTTAAAATCATCGATAGTTTGATTTCGATTTCCTGTTGCCATTTTTGTTCGCTGTTGATTAGATGAATCTTTTGGATAATCATTTCGAAGTTCAAGCAGATCATCGAGTAAACCGGAAAATAATATATCTATTATTCGTATTCGATTATGTTTATGTGGATCAAGAATAAAGAAAAATTTTCTTGTTGCAACACAAATATAAAATGGATAATATGATTTATCCATATTGTTAAGCTAAATTGAAAATTGAATAATGATTATTATCAGCGGACAAAACAAACGGAAAAAATTCGAACCTTAGTCAATGTTGGAATTAGTTGACGAATATAGTTTTCCAGATCCTTATATTATTGAGTTAGTGGGGGAAAAAAATAATCATTTCAATGTAAAATTTCACGAGAAACATCACATACTAATTCGGTAAGATAACCAGTGGCTGATGAATCGCAAAACGATAATGATATACGTGCTTGTTGTAGCCAAATTTTACGCATTACATAACGAAAAAATGTTAATATCGATATTTTTCCAATAGCTAATTGTTGTTGATTTGATGATGATTGTTGATTATGTTCACCACCAAGTAATTTGAAAAAAATTGTTGCTTGAAAATATTTTCGTAATTTTGAATCCGGATCTAATTGTTGACGTATTTGATTGAATTCTAAATAATTTATTGTTTGTTCATCATTCATATCATTGGATAATGTATGGACATTTTTCTCCAATAATATCCATAATTGCTAATCATCATCATTTCAAATAATAAAAGATGTGATTAGATATATTTCAATCAAAAATAACGACAACAAAATACCTGTAATTCATCATTCTGAATCTGTTCTTTACTCAATCGATTTAGGAATAAAAATCTGAAAATTTTTGTCATTAAAAACGAATTATCAATTCATTATTGATTGATTCACATTACTTTGCTTGTTCTCGAAGTTTTGCACACATAACATTTTCATTTCCATTACGTTTTCGATGAAATTCAGGAATTTTATCCAAATGAAATGGATCCATAATTCATTTGGATTTATTAATTTGAAAAAATATGCAACAAGTGTCAAAAAAATTCTTTGGATTCAATGTAGAACGTACTTTATGAACGAATAATTCGAATGAAATTCTTGACTCTCATCACGAGTTTTTGTTGTCGAATTGGAATTTTAGTATTTGAAAAAAAATTCAATTTTTTAAAGTTTTATCATCGCATTCAACAAAGAATGGCACCAGTTGTACAGATTTCTGCTACAAATGGTAATAAACCGGTACAATCAACACCGGATAAATCATTGTTAACGACAAACGCATCAGCGACGACAACTTCTTCAAAAAAACCTATTGAACGACGACCAGAATTATTCTGTAAAGTTAAATACAGTAATACATTGCCCGATATACCATTCGATCCGAAATTTATTGTCTATCCATTCGATACGAATAGGTAAGATTAATTCAAATTTTTTATTTTTAAAAATGAAAACATCCATCCATCAAATTTCATTTAGATTTGTTGAATATAAACAAACATCGTTGGAAAAAAATTATAAACATGATTTACTCACTGAACAAGATCTTGGTGTCACTATTGATCTGATCAATCCCGAAACCTATGAGGTTAATGAATATAAAAATGTTCGACTGGCTGAAGAAGATGAAAAACTTCTTGAAGATGAAATTGCCGCACCACAAGATACAAAACGTTCACGTTGTCATAATCGTGCCATTACTTGGTTGAAAAAGACTGAATATATTTCGACGGAATTCAATCGTTATGGTGCAAGCAGTGACAAAACTGAAACAAAGTAAGTATTAAGTTTGGTTATCTGAAAAATTTACCATTTTTTCTCATCTGATAAATAGGGTTGGTTTCGGTGTTCGTAAACGAATGCGTGATGAAAATTTCTATTTGGATCGTGATAGTCAAATTGCCGCTATTAATAAAACATTTGAATCGGCTAAGAAACCGATTCTATCACATCCGGGAAAACCGGGTCTAAAACCAGTGAAAACATGGCCAGTGTTTCCAGATTTTGAATTATGGAAATATCCATTTGCACAGGTTATGTTTGATGCTGATCCTGCACCACCAGAAAAAGAGAAAGAAATGTCTCAAGCTATGATACGTGGTGTAATGGATGAAAGTGGTGAACAATTTGTTGCATACTTTCTGCCTACTGAAGATTCAATGAATAAACGTAAAATCGATGAACTTGAGGGTCGCGATTATACTGAAAATGAAGAATATGAATATACTATGGCACGTGAATATAATTGGAACGTAAAGAATAAAGCAACAAAAGGTTATGAAGAGAATTATTTTTTCGTATGGCGTGATGATGCCGTTTGCTATAATGAACTGGAAACACGTGTTAAACTTAGTAAACGACGTTTAAAACATACGGCAACCAATTCAAAATTAGTTGTCAAACATCGACAATTAAATGAACAGGAATATAAAATTCAAGAAATTCGTATGACACAATTGGAACCGCCACAAGAAGATGATGAATTAGCAGCAGCGGTTGCAGCTGCTGCCACTAAATCTGAAATGATGGAATACAATGAAAATGATGATCATCAACAGCAACAACAACAATCGGAACAGTCACAAGAACACGATCAAGAGATGAATGAGGAAAATGAGGGCCATAAGAAAAAATCTCGAAATAAAAAGCATCGTAATGAAAGTGATGATGAAGAATCAGCCGAATCAAAATCATCATCATCATCGGCATCTTCATCTGCCGATTCATCTTCAGCATCATCATCTGATTCAAGTGAAGAATCGGATAATGATGAAAATGATCGTAAACAAAAACAGAAACAATCATCACCAAAACAACAACAAAAAGATGTACAAAAGAAAAAACAAGAAAGTTCGGCCGAATCATCTGCTCAATCAAGTGATGATTCTGATAGTGATGGTGGAAGCGGCGTTAGTAGCGATAGTGACAGCGATGATGATCAACGACAACAAACAAAACAGATTTTTGGTTCCGATTCAGATTGATCATGAACAAATAATCATTAATGAAAACTAAAAGAATCATAGTCATTATATTTAAAAAAAATTTGTATTTTAATGAAAAAATTTTTTTACATCATTTTTTCGAAATTTGTGCTGAAGATGATGATGATGTTGATGCAGAAGATTTATGATGATGATGATGTTGACCACCACCACTCAAAACGATATATGGTTTTTGTAATTCTTTTTGTTTATCTTGTAATAATTTTACCGTATTTAATGGTGTATCCGTTGAACTCATTTGACGTAATTTCTATAAAAACAACAAAGAAAGAAACCAAAATTAGTAAACATTATTTTTTTTCCTCAGCATTTCATTATTAATAATCCATTCATTTGAATAAATAAAAATACATACACTTTCTTGTTCCATTTTTTTCATACGTTTATCAATTTTATTCTTTCCCGGTCCTTTACCATGAAATTTATGTGAAAGATAACGGAAAGCTTCTTTTTGATTCATCATACGGCCTTTTTCATCAACATAATCTAGTTTAAAATCAGGATGATAACCTTCTTTTTCACGAAATTCTTGCATTGAACCGGAATATCGATCACGACGTCCAATTCGATCATCCTCACTGAAAAAAAACGAAAAAAAATCAGTTTTAAATAAGTAAAGAATTTGTTTGATTGACTTACTAGAATTTCTCTTCAATCGTATATGATTGTGCTTGTATGATTGATGTGGCACAAGTTGCACCAAATGATTTTGCTGTCTCTTTATCCAGATAACCTTTGGTCATTGCCAATTTTAAAGCACCACCAACACCTTTACTAATATCCGGTTCTTCTTCTAATATTGGCTGATTTCGTTTAATTTTTGAATGTTCATCATCATCATCATAGATTTTATTATCATCATCCTCATCTGATGTATTACCAGTATCTTCAGTTTTCATATCAACTTCATTCCAATTATTTGGAAATTTAAAATCATCTTCCTCCTCCTCATCATCATCATTATCTAAATTATTCACTGTAGAATTTACGGATTTTTCCGGTATAATAACAGCAGGTTTTTCATCACCATCATTATCATCATCATCATCATCAATCATTGTTCGATGATTTGATATTTCCATTTGGGCACCCGAATATTCACCAAGATTTCTACAAAATTCAGCCGTTGCATTCAATATAATTTTATCACCATCATTTGTATGATAATAATCAATATCCATTGATGATTCATTTGTAGTTTCATCTTCTTCGGGTTTCATTTCACGTTTAACTGTTTCAACTATTTTTGCAATTGCCAATGCTTGATCAGATATTTTTTCTTTCAATTTAATTTTTCTTGCTTTATGCAATACTGATTGTAATTCATTTTCTGCTTCATCATCGATAACAATACCAGAAAGATCTTCATCCGGTCCGATTAGATCATCATCATCATTATCAACGATACTATCGATATTTAATTCGATTTTTTTCTTTTCATTTGTCGAATCAACATTGGTTGAATTTGTTCGACGTGATCGTTTCGAACGTGGTGGTTCAACAAGCTCAACATTCGAAATAACATTTGCTTGTTGATTCGTTGCTAAATGTTTTTGTCGTAGATTTTTTGATGATTTTTTCTTTGATGGTTTCTTAAATTTTACAGCCATTTCTTCGGGTGTATAATATTCATTAGCGATTTTGAGATCATTCCAATTTAATGAAATTTTTCCATTACTATTTGTTGTTGTAGATATATCGGCATTCGTTTTGAATGAACCAAGTTGATTATTACCAGTATTTATTGTTGTTCCAATACGAAACATTTCATTTTTTTGTCCTTCAATTTCTTCATCATATTTTCCAAGTAATGATTGTTTTTTATTATTATTAAAATTACCAAATTCTTCCATTTCAAATTCATCATCATCATATGGACGATATTCGGGTCGTTTTTGTTTATTATCAACATTTTTTGCTGCACGTTCATCATCAACAATATTCACATTTTCCAATACATCTTCCTGTTCATCAAGAACATCTTTATCCCTTAATGTAAGAACAACTGCTTGTCCTTCTTTTATCGAATCAGATTTATGACCAATGGCTAAACCTTTTAAATCAGATGATGTATAACGTTTATCAATTGTTTTTGTACGTTTACTTGGTGATGGCATTTCATGATCGTTTTTTACCTTTGATTTTTGTTCTTTATGTTGATGTTTAGTTCGCTGATACCATTCGGCTGCATCTTCTTCATCGCTTTCATTTCTATTATCATCATCATCATGAGCAAGACTTTTAACTTTACGATATTTTTCCAATAATTTTCGTTTTTCACGTTGAGTTTCCAATCGTTCAAGAATTTTTTCTCGTTCTAATTTTTCTTTAATATTTTCAGTTTTTACAAAAACTTCATTCGGATCGGACATTTTTGTTCAAGTTTTTTTCGATATTTATTTCATCATAACAACAACAAAATATTGCGAGAAAAAAAGCCGAAGATGAAAAATATTCTTCGTATACGAATACATTCATAAAGAACGTGTTGTAAATTATTGGCCATGTGATTTTCGAATGAATTTTCTTTGTTTGAATTTCTCAACAACGACAAGATGATATTAAATTCCATAATTCGATCATCATTACCTCGAACAAATATTTCGATGGTATCCAATCTAATACAACAACAACAAAAACGTAATCTTAATCTTATACCGATTGTTGTTGAACAAACTGGCCGTGGTGAACGTTCATATGATATTTATTCAAGATTATTGAAAGAAAGAATTGTTTGTTTAATGGGACCAATCAATGATACATTATCATCGTTGGTTATTGCTCAGCTTTTATTTTTACAATCGGAATCAAGCAAAAAACCTATTCATATGTATATTAATAGTCCGGGTGGTGTTGTCACTTCAGGATTAGCCATCTATGATACAATGCAATATATTTTACCACCAATTGCAACATGGTGTGTTGGACAAGCCTGTTCAATGGCTAGTTTATTATTAACAGCCGGTACGGAAAATATGCGTTATTCATTACCACATTCACGGATAATGATACATCAACCACATGGACAGGCAGCTGGACAAGCAACCGATATTCAAATTCAAGCAGAAGAAATATTAAAATTAAAAAAATTAATCAATAATCTTTATGCAAAACATTCTGGTTTAGATTTATCAACTGTTGAATCATATATGGAAAGAGATAAATATCTTAATCCAGAAGAAGCAAAAGAATTAGGATTAATTGATAATATTCTATCACGGCCATTATCAAATGTTCAACAACAATCGAATCGAAAAGATGAAAATGGAAATTCAAAATGATCGACAATAGATGGCATTGCATCGCCATAATATCATCGAATTATTTTTTTTTCATTTTCGAATGTTTTTTTTTTCGGAAATCCAAAATTTTTTTTTTGCCTTAAATAAATTTTTTTTTTAAATTTTTGTAATTTTAAATTGATGTTATTAGATTTGTTTGAGGAAAAAATCAATGGCCTTTTTATTCTTTAAGTTTATACTAAAATCATTCACTAATCAAACGAAAAAACAATTCGGAAAATGCCAAACAAAACAACAAAATTACCGCTTGTCATTGAAAATAAATAAATATCCAGCTGTGTAATTTTTTTCTAGTTGGGCGTTGTTATTCCGTATCAAACTGACTAAATGCGAAAACAAAAATCATCCTCATCAATGATCATTATCCGACAAATAAAAACGATGTTTGTTCATTGAAAATTTATCGATAAATGAAATTAGAAAATCACATTATAATCTCTTATCTAATGGCCATGATCATGTCAAATACTTAGAGAGAAAGGTCATTAATTAAGTCAAGAGGAGGCCAAAAAAGATTGATCAAAAAGATTGTTCGATAATAATCGAATAAATTTGACATTCGGTAGCTTCAATATTTGGTGTATTCGACAACGAATCAGCAAAGTAAAATGAAAAACTTTCACTGAACAAACATCTGATTATTAATCATTTCAATTCAATCAATATAATTACATTATCATTATATAACGAATATATTTTTGTATCAAAACTAACAAAACTAAATTATGGCTATTATTATTATCATCATCATCATTATTTGTCATTAATTATAACACTTGATTCGCTATATTCGAAAAGAAAAAAAAATCGTTTTGTTTCCTTTTCATTTCATTTGAAAATGATTTTCTTTACCAATAAAATTCTGGTGATTCTGTATACGACAAACACAAACAACACACACTGACCAAAATAACAACAAAAATCATTTAATTATCGGTTGTTGTTGTTACAAGTTTGTTGTAGATCAATCATTATTTAAATTTTCGTTTGTCGTCATCATCATTATTATTTTTTGCCAAGAATTCAATGATTCTTTGTCCAGAAAAAATGGAAACCATTCCGAATAATTGGCCAAATTTTGTTGAAAACATGTAGCGAACAGGAATCCCAGAATTTCATGATCAAATGATGATCACGATAATGATGATGGTTGAGAATGAATGAAAGTGAAAAACTCTGAAATTTAAGTAGATCAAAATCGAATGTGAAAAGTAAGTGAGAAGAAACGTAGAAGAAATATTGATAAATTAAATTCAATCAATTTTTTAATTGATACTTAATTATAATTGATTAATACAATTAAATGTTTGGCTCGTGTTTGTGATAGCCGATCATTATTATTTTATCATTCCAGAATCATTATCTTTAGTTTTTTCAATGAAAAAAAAAATCCATCCACATTGGCACGCGGACACACCAAAGTATCGTTTGTTGTTGTCCACTATGTTTTTGTGCTGTGTTTTTTCATCCCCAAAAAAATCTTCATACAAAAAAGCGTATTACCGAATAGACGCGCTCGACAATCTAATTATTTTTGATTAGGATCTGACTTTTTTTTCACACACACACACACAACACACATCATTTCATGATTTCAATCAAATTCAATTGAATTGAATTCAATTTAAACAAATTTACTTTTTTTTCTTTTTCGCTCTCGACGAGATCATATCTCTCAATCATATCGGTCTGCATAGATCAGTACAGTACAGTAGAAAAAAAAGGCAAGCAACGAACTAATAACACTCACACAGACACACTGGGTGATCAGAAAAAAAAATCTGAAAATCATTCATTGAAAATTCATTGAGAATTTATAATGATAATAATCAACGTATATCAAGTGTGTGTGTGTAAAACAAGCCAAGTGTTAAGCAACAGAAAAAAAACTAGCCACGTGAACTTACATTGAAAAAAATTTATTTAGGGAAACAAAAACGAGAAAATAATGGTTCCAAAATATCCATGATAATGATGAGTGTATATTCAGTGTTTGCTTCTTTTGAATGACAAAAAAAAATAATGATGATAATCGAATAGGATCATCAAATGTGTGATCAGTGTTTGATTGATTTGATTCACTGTTGTTGTTGTTGTTTTTTCTCAATTCAAACAACATCAGTTTTTTTAAATGAAAAAAAATTCCAAATAATGTTTTCCAAATTATGACAAGATGAAGATGATTTTTACTGTTGTTTTCAATGTTGTTGTTGTTGTTGTTGTTGTCAAAATTTATTATCATCATCATAATCAACATTTTCGATTGCATGCAGAGAAGAAGAATATTTTTTGATTGTTAAATTGTTTTATTTAACAATTGCTTGTTGTTGTTGTTGTTGTTGTTCAATCTAAATATTTATTCTGATTTCATTGTTTGATTCTGATTTTCATTGTGTGATTAGTTTTTTTTTTTGATTCTCACGCTTTGTTTTCATTCTCAATTCAAGAGAGAAGGAGAGTGAAATCAATGTTTTTCGTTTTGTTTAAAATTTTTAAAGTTTCAGAAAATTCTTCAGGATTTTCCTTGTGCTTTGATCATATCAAACAACATGTTTTTTTCGCGCCATATATAATTAGCCATATAATTGTAATCATATTACAAGCTTGTTTAGTTATTTATTTTCGAATCAAACAAACAAAAATATTAATATGGTTCATTAATAATAACATTCGTATTATATGGTTGTTTGTTGAAAATTATCATTTTCATTCCATTCCATTCCATTTGTTCAGACTAAATCAAATAGGGCAATATTGAATTACTAACAAGCATACAGCATACAGAATATTTGATCTGAATAACAGAATTTTTTGATGATGTTCAAAATATTTACTTTCATCAATAATGTTAAAGTTTGTTTGTTTGTTTCGAAATATTCAATCTGAATGAAATTTGGTGGTTATCGAATCTGATTCACACACACCAAGCCAAACCAAAACCTGAAAATAAAACCAGAATTTCACCAGTTTTTTTGTTTTGAAAAAAAAGAAAAAATTTCCACTTTCATTTCTTAACGATTCTGTTAACTGATGAGATCTGATTGAACCAGATTTGAATGAATATGTGTCATTTATAATGATCAAGATTTATTTCGAGTTGGGAAAAAAAAAATCCTGTCCAGTTTAACCCCCTCACTCCATCACACGCACACAAACACCCTCATGAATTTGATAATATAAACCAACAAACGAAAACGAAAACCGAAACAAACAAACTAGATAATTTACAAACATTGTCATTGTTGTTCATTAAAATGACACTAATTGAATGAATCGTTGTCGTTTTCTCGTTAACTTTCTGCTGGTACTGTTACTGAATGGTCATCATAATCATCGATTCTATCATTATCAATAAGGGTACCAGAAAAAATATGGCTACCATATGTGCGTGTAACCAGAAAATCTTTTTGAAAAATTTGATACCCGAACAACAACAACGAAAATGAAATTTTGAAAAGTGAAAAACAAAAAAAAACATTCCATGAACCCCGATGATGGGTTAAAATGGAAAGTTTTTTTTCGTTGTTTTTGTCCAGTTTTTTGTGTTTGAACTTAATTATTATCTGCATACAAATGTTTGACAATAATTAGTTTTTTCTTTTGGGTTAAATTGTCAAGACTAGAATAATTTCATGGGAGAGTCTGGTTTCGAATTGGATTTTTTTTGTTGTCGACATTTAATTAACCATTTGATTAACATTCTGAAGAGAGATAATTAAGCTTGAATGAGAGAGAAAAAAAACATCAATTTTTTCTCATTGAAATCATTTTTTAAAAATTGTAAATTTACAACAAAAAAATTCAATTTTTCCCTTGTTTCACTCTCTTTATTTCCCAAACATCATTACTTTGTTATTAGTTATAATATAGTGTCAACCATAACTTTCGAACACAAAAAAAAACAAACGATGAATGAATAGAAAATTAACACGTTATCGTTGTTGATGTTGATAATAACTTTCAGGAACAAATGATCATCATTATTATTATTATACCCGAAAAATTCATTCACCATTACCGTGGTTAGTGTGTGTGTGTGTGTGTGTGAACCAATATTCATTATTATTATGATGATTATGATCCATGAAACAACAATTCTTGTGAACCATATAGTAAAGAAAAGACCAGTATTTAAAAAAAAAAACTATAATGATCCAGCAATGAATGAATGAATGATCCAAAAAATGTTATTTGATGTATGGATTTTTTCTGTATCAATGATACAGGACCTTGTTGTTGGTTTGTGTGTGTGTGAAAAAAGAGTCATTTTACAATCAGTAAAGAGAGAGAGAGAGAGAGAGAGAAAGAGAAACAATAACAAACATTTAGCGTTAATGTTTGTGTGTGTGTTTTGTATTATTATTTTTATAAAAAAAAACTTTGGCTAAAAAAGCCATCAATTTGGATTATTTCCGAATCAAAATCATTGTAAAAAATCAACAAAGACAGAAAAGAATAAAAGAACAACAACCAGCAAAAAGCCGAATAAACTAAACTAAAAAAAAATTTGTAAAATCAATCTGTGTGTTTTATTCAGTCATTGGTTTCACACACACACACACACACACACACACACACACACACACTTACACCGAACACAAAAAAAACACGTTGACTAACTGGAACCAACAGAAAAAAAATATTACAAAAGAAAACCGCATAACATACTTGGACATCATCATCATCGACAGGATGAATAAAACCATTTTAGCAGCAGCAACAGCAAACACATTATCAAGCTATTAGTGTTAATGTAAATGATTTTCATTTCACGCCATTATTTTCTGGTCATTTTTTTGTTCCTAAATAGAAAGAAAAACCACCATTGAATGAATCAATGAAAAACTACTGATTGATTGCCAACACCTTTAAATTAAGATGTTACCAATTTTTTTTATTATTATTATTAACACAATTTGTATGATAAAGACATTTATATTTTCCAATGAAAAAAAAGAAAACATTCAAGAAACATACATATGTTTTGCATATTCATTGAAGCGCGGTTGCTTGCTTGTTTTTGTTACAAAATGT